TAGATGAAACAAAAGAAGACAGTAAGACTTTGTCTTCACACTGCCACAGCACACTGAAGGAAGTTATGCATAGCACTCTGTGGAGAGAAGGGATTTGCCCATGCATAACTTTATACATTCAACGATTCCCTAAACAAGGCTGAATTAGAGTGGGGTCATTAAGTGTCCGGATTACATTCCCGTATTTGTGAAAACAGTAGGCCTCTCCATTTGATCTCAGCGCTAACTTTTGTGTCCTTTACGCGCTCTTCTGTTCTGCAGGTGATGCTGGGGAAAAGGGAGATAAGGGAGACAAGGGAGAGGACGGTTTAGGAATCAAAGGAAGCCCAGGCGCACCAGGTAAGCCAACAATTTTGCTATGATAATAGCACTGCTAAGAATGTTCCTCTTTATGAACAATTGTAACTGGTCATAGTATCCTATGTTGAAAAAAGTTTTAAGAAAGTCATAGTATAGTATGTAATGGTATAACATGTCGAAAAAAAGATTGAAAAAATGAATGGTATAGTATGTCAAAAATGTGAAAAAAACGCCATAATGTAGTATCTAAATAAAGTCATAGTATGTTGAAAAAAGAGAAAAAGTCATCGTATAGTATGTCGAAGAAAGCCATAGTATATTATGTTAACAAAAAAGTAAAATGCATGTTTTGAACCTCCATCTCAGGTGCACCAGGTGCTGCTGGCATTGGCAAGGATGGCAAAAATGGACAACGTGGTGAGGCAGGAAGCCCTGGTGTCCCTGGAGCAGCTGGTCCACGGGGACCTTTAGGGCAGACTGGCCTTTGTGATCCATCGACCTGTATAGGCAGACTTCCGCCTCACTATATGCTCAGTGGAAAGAAGTCTGCCAACTACAAAAACCAATGACACACCAGAACTCATTAATACACTCCAGATTGCATCATGCAGTGACCAGGTTTCAGAGCTTCTCAGAAGTCTGGACAACATGATCTTTGGGAGTCCTCAAATGTCTCCATCTGAACCACGGATCTAAGAGACGCAAAGGGAAACAGAGACAAGGCACGATTGTAGAATACTGTAAAGACATTTTAACTTGTATGTGATTTTAGTGAGAGCTTATCTAATGTTGAAAGATAGCTGCTACTGATGCCAAAGCCACTTCTTCCAGCCGACGACAGGCGCGCATGCCTATGACTATTCCCATACAAATCTGAGCAGTTACAACCTGCTCATTTTAGTTTTTCTGACGATAAGGGTTAAGCAGTTGTAAAGTAATTTAAAAGTACATCTCTCTGATTTCTCTTATGCATGTACTTTTTCATTCTTTCAATAAGCTCCCTGAAAATATTGCTTCTTCTCTTTTAGCCACAAGTAAAGCCCACAGCATATGATGTGCCATTTTGAACCACTGATTCTCCTCCGCAGTCATGAGCCAGTTAGAAACCAAATTTGGTAAAGATGAATTATGTTTTGAGGCTTTGCTGCCAAGACAAAACTTTTAAAATGTTAATGTCTACAATTCACTACAAGTGCAGACATGAGGTGACATCTCCAACAGTGTGGGCCTTTATCATCTCGGATTGCACATTTGTTTTGTCTGATTTTGTCATATTGATTTGTTCTTTTTCAAACAATGGAATAAAGTGATGTGTTTTGGAAGTGTTGCACATTACTGTATTAAGTTTCACATTTAATGGAGCATATCATCTATCTTGGAGCCGCTGCAGTGACAAAAAGTCTCATTACACAGAACGATACAATTACCTAGATTGGTATGTTGACAGATGACAGCCCCTCTACAGTAAAATGGTTTTATATTGAAAACAAGGTCCCTGGGTTGTTATGGATATAATCTGTACTCAGGAGGGCAAATCACTGTTGTCTGGTTACAAAGAACAGTCAACATCCGCCCTACCTCTGTCTGCACAGCACAAATACAGTCACAGATCAAACATGACCTTTACCAAGCTGCTGGGGAGAGTTAGCATAGCGGCCATCCCAAGGACATCCCTTTGATTTAACAGATTGTGTCATGGCTTAGAGCCAGTGGATTTTAAGTTGTGTGCACAAGTGAAAGGGTACGCAAGGGTCATACAATTTGATTCAGCAAAAGCCAGGTGATTGGTTTACATATTTAGCTTACAGATATTAAACATGATGGATTTTGATGTATAGGCACGGAAATGAGCAGTATTTTTTAAATAATGTGAGACGGACATTACCTATTAAAAAAACAAATCAAAATGTGTATTATAAAATGAATCATTTCCAGTCTTTATTATACAGTACAGTACATGTGTCTTTGCAATACTTACAATATGCTACTATTTTAAAATCTCTTAGCACCAATTCATGAAGAAAAGAAAAGGGGGAAAACAGAATAATACATTTTAGTTAATGGGTTAAAAATGCAAATTGTAATGGTTCAAATCATGAATAATTTAGCAGTATAACTTAAAACAAGTTAGCAAAAACAGCTATTTGAATGATGAAAGGTGTTTGCTTGTATGCATTACAACATTTTTGATCTGTGCGCAGCAACTTATCACACACGATAACACAAAGTATATTGGTGACTGTTACAAACATTAACATTAAGGGCATTACTGATATGGTTCAATTGTTCAATAATAAACCATTGACAATGGAGCAGCAAACAGACATCTTAAATGGTATACCCTTGAAAGAACAAGTAATTTATTCCACACATTTAGGGCCAAATTTTATTCTGAATTTACTGTAAATTTGAAATTCATTGCATTTCAAGTTCCTCTTTACCAATTTGATAAAAGGAGACGTAATGTGATGCAGCTACAAACATTTGCTAAAATATGATTTCTCAAAGGCAGAGCTGATTTGAATTCAAGAAAAATTTTATTGGTTGAGTTAAATCTCAGAGGCACTGTAACTGTGTAGTTTGGTTTTGTAGTTTGTTAGCCTTGACAAGTCATTTTAAACCATTTTTAGGTAAAGTGCAAGCTAGTAAATCCAAATCTCAATGTTCTGAATTCCGTATATTGCACATTTAAAGTCAACTTTTTGCAAACATTACTCAACACTAGCCATCATACACTAATGGTCATGCCAGACAAAGTGAGGCTGCAGCAACAAAACCCCTGATTGTACTGAATTTAGCAAGGGTGCATCTTATTGCTTATGAATTCAACTTTTCATTTGAAAAATGTCCTATTTCTTCTTTTAAAATATTACATAGTGTTGCTTTAACTCTACAAATGAAATGTCTCCTGCCTCCAGAGCAGCCAAGAAACATCGGTCAAAGAAAAAACTCCATTCAGCTTCGCCAACATCTTCAAAACTAAGTTGTGTCAGAGCCACTTTACTTTATTCATGAATGAACTTCCATTAGGTAACCTGAGCAAAAGATGACGAGTATGACTGATCCATATAGTGATGAATTAGTTTGTCCTGGCAAGCTCTCATAACATTTCTATATTCTCTTCTTGAAAATTGCTTCCCACATCCCTTTTGCTGTAGTGTGTATTGATGCGTTTCTTCACGTTTGTGAAAGGAAGACAAATGTGATACCTTTAGTGGAGGTTATTAAATAAGTTCAAGATGACCAGCACCTCTGAGGTTTTGGGAGAGGTGTAATTGGTCCATGAGGGGCGTAAAGGCAACACATCTTTCAAATGGTTACCACAATGGTCTGGTCATCAGGATGCAAGGAAGCAACTCTCCAATTTTAGTTTCTAGGGGACAAATAAGAAAAGCGATGTCTTTTCAGAGCAGGGCTGAGCTGCCCGGACGCTGCCACAGCGTAGGCACTTAATAGGCCTCACCGAACAGAAAGGAAGTGACACATTAAGAGAAAGCGAATGCGAAACAGGCAGCTTTTCAAGAAAGGTAAACAAAGGCTGCAATTAAACCACCTCCTCAAAGCTGTTTACTGCTCAAGTCTTTGCATACCCCACAAAGATAATGACCAGAGCCACTTCATTAAACACAAAAGTACAAATCTAACAATGACATTTCTTCCTGTCTCGACTTCTATCTTTAATACTCAGGTTTAATAATCATCCTGAGGGTTAGCTTGGCACAAATCATGGCATATATGAATTAAGCGTACACGTCATGTTATTACTGTTTAGGACAGATTTTCAAGCACATTCAAATAAGATAGCCACCTGTGAATTATACAACGTCATGTCTGTGTTGCATTTTCTCAGGCAAATAAACTGAATTTTGGAATGAAAGTCTAGGAATCTCTCCAAAAGCTTGAAACAACATTGCCAAGGCTGGCTCTAATTTAAGAGTTGTGACAGAGAGGTAATATATTCTGCCTCTGGTTTATTCCCAGAATAAAATCTTGTTTTGTTTATGTCTAAATAAATCAGACGGGTTTAGAAATTGAACAAAATTCCAATTTGTTTAAGGGGGAATTTTATTTTTCACGCCTGTTTTGGGGTGCCAATAATATCTGAAACAACCAGCTTAGAGGCAATAAGTGCAGGAAAGTGGTCGTTCATCGCTCTGCACACTCACTCATTAACACTCCTCCTACACAGAATTGAGATCGTCCCTCACACTGTCTGTCCTCGCCAATTCCCATCAATTCCCATCAAACAGATAATTCCCTTGACTGAGTCATTATCTCGCAGAGGATCCTAAGCAAGAGAAGAAGTTAGTGAGCAGTGACTGACATCTATTGCTTGACATAGAACAGTGTGGGCTGTGAATGGTAACTGATGCAAAATGGTGTGAGGCACAAAAAAAAAGCCTGTGGTGCAGACATATTCCTGCAAGAAAATGCCAAGCTGAACTTTTGAGATAATTACTGATGAAAAGATACAATATCAGACTCCCAAATCTTCCCTACCGATGGGAGGTTTAAGAGGAGGGAATTGCATCGTCCTTGTTATCTCCCTATATATTTTACAGGAAGCATGCAAGTGAGGAAAAAAATAAACCTGTTTAGCTGCCCTCTCTACCCCATATTTAATCTGAAAAGGTCCCTCGATGCTTAACCCCCATCCTTCCCAAGCTTCTTACCAAAAATAAACAAAACAAAGAATCTGACCGGCAGCACGTGTTGCTTCAGCCCTCCATACTGAGGTTATCTTAAAAAAAAAAGTTCTTGATTCAGACCAAGTTCATAAATACAGCTGGACTTCAAGCTCTTTGTGTCCCTTCTCTCTTAATTAAGTCCCCTTGACATTTTTGGTGTGGGGTCTATGTGCCAGGCTGGCATAGTAGGCACACTGGCTGGGATCACACTGGCCAGTAGGACCTGGAGGTCCAGATTGACCGTGGGGGCCGGGGTTTCCTGGCTCTCCCTGGGCTCCAGCTTGCCCTGGGCCTCCGTCTTTACCATAACCAGGCAGACCAGCTGGACCTATAGTAGGAAGGACGACAATTTGAGGCTCCAAATCTGGTGAAACCAACCTAAGAAGAAGGAATACAGTAAGCAAGAGACTGGTTGTTACCTATCGGGCCAGAGGGTCCTTGCTCTCCTCTTTCGCCAATACCAGGTTCTCCCTTTTCTCCTCTTGTTCCTTTGTCACCTGGAAATTCAGAAAACAGGAGCCACATTAGCCGTTATATTTATTAGTCAACCAATTTTAACAACCTTGAGCATTACTGTATGTTGACATTCATGACACATGGATGGACTGGAATATCGGGCATGTTCTTAGTGTGTGTGTGTGTGTGTGTGTGTGTGTGTGTGTACCAAGCCCTTGTAGCTGCCTCTGCTCAGCTTTTCTCAGCTATCTTAGAGTGAAAAAGTGATCTTGAAGAGGCACTCCACTGATTTTATCAGAGCCAAAATCTACCAGTGTAGGATAGTACATACTATCTCTGAACTCTGTTGAATAATATCTTCTGTTGCTCTGGTGAAGTGTTGTCAAGTCTGTGAAAATGACTTGAATGATACCAGTTGAGTTCAATAAGCTTGACTCCATTCATTTTACATGGAATTGATGCAATACAAACAGGTTTTGTTGGCTTAATTTGTACAAAAACTGCAGTGTAACAGAAATATGTTGTAGTTTTACAGGGATTATGTCCCGAACCATTTCTGTGGCGGGCACAGCCACTTCCTGGAGTCTCTGCTGGGTGTCTGGCAACCTCACAGTCATAACAGGATTTAAATAAATGACTGTGGCAGGCCGAGACAAAGTCTGGCACATTTAGTGTACAGCCATCTAACTCTCTGGACAAATTAGAGTTTTTGACAAAACGTAGAACTATTCCTTCAGAATTTATCTCAAACAGCCGTCAGATACAATTGTTCTTTATGTCCTCTTTGATCTGATGTAGATCTTTCTTAGTCGGCCTTATATGAAGTAACTGGTATTTTTCACTGCCAATACATCAAGTGATTTCTTTGACAAAATTGTCTTGGAGACATCAAGTTGGACCAATCTGAGAGTTAGAAAGTAGTAAACACTGTGGAAATAGTAAAGGAACAAAAAAACATTAAAAAAAGGACACACAGGAAATAATAATACTGCCAAAAGTCTCTGTCCTACCTTTAGGGCCCATGGGTCCCCTGGACCCTTCTCCGCCATTTTGTCCGGGCATACCAGACTCTCCAGGGGGGCCAGGTCGTCCAGAACTGCCGTCCTTACCCGAGGGGCCTGGAGCTCCTGGACGGCCAGCTGTACTCTTCACGTGGGCTGGCTGGATCTGAGCCATGAGGTAAGCCATTTTGGCTGGACACAAAAGCAAAGTTATTTGATCACACTTTCATGAATTTAGATCCATTTTAACTTTAATGATTTTATTGTTAAAGAGGTACTGCACACTTAAACCGGTCTTAATATTGACATTTCTTTACAAGTGGATTAAAATCTGTATTTCATGGGTTTCAAAATGGCTCAACACGCCATCTACTGTTTTAGATCAGCCCTGTACTTTGCAGGCCAATGCTGACTTAGAGTCTAACCGTCAGGATTTATCCATGTCATGAAAGTAACTCCTGCCTCACACATCCACGCACTGCCCCTCCCCTCACCCCTGCTCAGGCCCTTGCCCACTTTCTTTTGTGCATTTTTCAAAACTATGCAGTGGGTGGATTTAGGCTCAAACCTGGAGGTGAAGTTACACTTTAATGTTTCCATGTATTGTTATCAAATAGTTTCTGTTTCGTTTACCTGTTTTGCGAAGCCCTTTTGGCTGCATCTTTGCATGTAATGTGCTACACAAATAAAGTTATTATTATTATTCCTTAAATTTCAAACTACTCTGTTAAGGTTATCTTCGTCAGGTCAACATGGAAAGGAGACAGACAAAAAGAAATCGCCTCCTCACCATCTAATTGTTTCGCCAGCTCCTCCTGGATGAGTCGTCTCATCTGCTCCAGTGATACCGACTCTCCCTGAGACATGAAATATGGTAATCAGTAAATAAATTATTTATGCCTAAATTTAATGAACCTGTGAATAGTTTTGTGGCATCAACAATAAAGCTTTCAGGACTATGACTCACTCTTTGGCCTGGAATACCGGGATTTCCTGAAGTTCCTTGTGGCCCCGGAGCTCCTAATTCTCCTGGTGGTCCAGACATGCCCATCATCCCTGTGTGGCCCTTTCTACCAGGGGGTCCAGGGTTTCCAGGCATACCTGGATCTGCTGATTGTCCTTTATCTCCCTTCACACCTGAATCTCCCTGGATCAGATGACAGCAATTGTACATTTTCAGACTTGAAGAACCTCCAATTTGCATCTCTCAGTTGTGTCAATCAGGCGACAGATTTGTATCTATTATGAGCACATTATCTGTCACATTTTGCATCTCTAGTACTCGCCTTCTCTCCTTTGAGGCCTCGATCACCAACTCTGCCTGGCATCCCCTACAAAACACAAAAAACAGTGGACGTGAGCAAAAAATCTGTTTGTATTATATCATAGTTTATCGACATTGGTTCGATGAGGTCCTTACCTGTTTACCTTCTGGACCGATTGGACCAGGTGGACCCTGGAAATCAAGATAAAAGTCAACATTACCCACAACTGCTCATATTTGTGAGCTGCAAATAATCTTGGAATGAAAATGTTACAAATCTACCACTCACCGCGGGGCCTTTAGGCCCACTAAAGCCTGGTAATCCTGGGTTGCCGGCCTCTCCCTTGTCTCCTCTAAGACCCTGTGCGACAGCAGAGACATGGCCGCTCATCACATGGCACACACATGGCACACACATGGCACACACATGGCATACTGTACTTGTACTCTAAAAGCCTCGCTCATTACTGTGGATTCAGTAAGGATTAATATTTAGCTTCTTATCAACATGCAGCAGTGGCCTGGATAAAAGTCTCATAAACCAATCTTGCGGTGAGACATGCCAGCTTGAAGAGTTTAATATCCATATTTACAGGGCACATGTAGGCCTGAAGAACAGCAGGTTATGGCAACCACAGAGAGATTTGAACTAAAACAAAGTTAGCCTAATAAAACTAGAAAGTTTGGCAATATTACAACAGTTTTAGCTTCCCTTCATGTCACCGGTCCACGTCAGATCAGACTTTAAGGTGATTGTGATGTCCTACAATATTGTAAATGAACAAGCCACTCCCTATCTGTCTGATCTCCTTTAACCTTATACTCCCATCAGGAGGGCTCCTATTGCTCCCCAGACTCACAGGGTTGTTCTCAGTTTCAATGTATAACATAAGCCTAAGTTGTCCCAGCAACAAGAATAATATTAGTGTGTGATGCGCTCCTTTTTTAGCTTCTTGTGTGTTTGTAAAACCTGTGTTCTGTCCAGGTTTCATGGTTGAGAGGAGGTCTTGTGCCTCAGGCTCTTGCTCTATAGCGACACCTGAAAGCTGAGATTCATCCGTATCATTTTGTCATACGGATTGCCTATACTGTGATTTTATTATGTTGGTCTATTTTTGTACACGACATCTATTGAGCGTGTTTCCCTCCTGGGAGAGGGATCCCTCTTCAGTTGCTAATCCTGAGGTTTCTTCCATTTGTCCCTCTGTTAAAGGGTTTGTTTAGAGAGTGTTTCCTTATGCGAAGGGGGGGTCATAAAGGACAGATGGTGACGTAAGCTGTACAGATTGTAAAGCCCCTTAAGGCAAATTTGTGATATTGGGCTACTTTACATATAAAATTGACTTACATTGGCTTGAAGGAGTTTATTAATGCTTGCAGAATTGGGAGAATGATTCACTTTCTCTTTTTCATCTAAACGTTTCTTATTGTTGTTGAATATACAGTATACACCATCTCCTCTGCCTTTTTCCACTCACTGCATCATCCTCTCTCTCTCTGTGGTAAATCTGTCCATCTGATAACATTTTTAGAAATATCAGATCCTGACTCTAAATAGCTTCACCCTACACTGAAATCACTCTCTACCTCCTCTCCCAACCCTTTCTGCATCTGGCTCCTGCCCTCCTCCCTCCTCCAGGCTATTTCTGGTGATCTGCTCCCCCTGCTGACTGATATCATCCACTCCTCTCTGATAGCTGGCTGCATATCGTCTGCCCTCGAGTTAGCAACGGTTACTCCTTCTCCCAAGAAACCGTCCTCCAGCCCACGGACCAGTGTGCAGCTCCATCTATTTCTGTCCAGAACACATTTTGTTGTGAATGATAGCAACACATCAAATTAAGAATTCTCCTCACTGACAGGTCTCACTATCTCTGTCTACATTTCATATCTGTGACATATCTGTTATGGTGACCTCTGCCTGCCTCTTCATCTCCAGGCACAAGTGCCAGTGTTAGCCTATAAACCCTGTAATCACCGAACCCTCGCTGACTTTAATTAACCTCATCTTCGTGCTCAGCCAAATTAGTACACGGGCTCCAAAAGCTTTATGACGACTGGGACAGCGCTTTAAAATGACATTTTACCTTGGCAGTTAAGTGCAAAGCTCATATTTTCAGTGTAGCTTAAAAATATTCTAACATTAGCTTAATATGAGCTATGGGGACTCAAACACTCGCTCATGTCAAAGTAGAGCCGTCCTGAACCATCGCAGACGTACCTGGAGCACACAGTACGTGTAGGCTGTGAATCTGTGATTCACTCCCTAGTCACCTGATTGATTAAAGGCTGTTAAAGGCTCTGGCTGGTTTCGATCGGTCCATCTCTACCTTAGACTGTAGCTGTACCCATTGCAAGTGATGGGCCACACTTGTTAGTTGTTACAGAGTTTATTTTTGGCTTTAACACATGTCTACAACACTGCGAGGTCGACAGGGACCGACTCCTCCTCTGTCTAAAACAACTCTACAGATTCAGCATTGCAGACCGTTACAATTGGATCAAAATCAATGCAGCAGAAATGTCGTCTTTTTCAATTCCTTCCATTATTCTTCCTCGTCAAAACCAAACACAAAAGGCTTTGAATAATATGTTTGACATGTTCAGTAGTAGAGTTCCCCTTTAACAACTGATGTCACATATACAGAGTTGGGATGATAATTAAGCTTGAATTTACATTTATCAATAAAATGAAACTGGTATGAATATTGAAAGTAGACGTCTATTTTCTCAAGCAAAATACAGATTGCCTTGCTCTTATATTATTCCAACACTTGGAGAAAATTTGCTAAATCTGCTGTGCAATGGCCACTCTTTTTTTGTAATTTATTGATATTTGGAAATATTTACTGTTGGATTTGGTTAATTTTTCCATAAATTGAATTGCAATCTGTGCTCTGATATGTCAACTCCCTTAAACTCATCAAGGGCAAATAGATGTTCCCACCCTGGTCAGGGCAACATTTACTCAAATCTTCCATCATAATCTGACAGATCGTCTCTTCTAGACATACTTCACACCCTCCTCTCGTCTTCATTTACACCCCTGCTTGCACACTTGGCAATGAAAATGCTACTTTTTTCCGAATTCCTCTTATCTATGCTATTCACTGCCCTTCTCCTTTAAATGTGTTCACTCTGTGTAACAAAGAATTTTGTTTGTACTGAGTGTTGTGGTGAAGTGTTTCGGTGTCACTATTGTTTGTTTGCACCGTTAGTCATCCAATTGTTGTTTTAAAGATAGAAAATTGATAACTCACCGGAGTTCCAGGGAGACCTGCTTTTCCTGATGGCCCTGGTTCACCTGGCTTGCCCTGGGATGCAAAGGGGGGGGGGGGACACAGGATGAGAAAATTGATGTTGAAGGACAGCGAGAGGAACGACTTGAGTGCCACTTTATGTCAATATGTATCTGTCTGCTTGACACCGGGCTGCTTCGTTCTTCTGTTTGCGTCAGACAGCGCTGCAAGTGATTGAAAATGACTCACCGACTCTCCTCTTGGTCCACTAAGACCTTCTCTGCCTGGAGGTCCCGTAGAGCCCTGTCGTGACAAAAAAATAGACATGTTATATTCTGGCTTTCACATGCTGAAAAAGAGGGAACAGAACCATGTATCATCTGTAGGACATGCTGAGAAAAAACTGCAGGCTTGATCACTTTAATCTTATTGGAAAACAGCCTCTACTGTAGCAGTGAGGTCAATCTGAAGTCCTTCCTTTTTTTGTGGAAGGAGTATGTAGGTGAGGAGGAAAAGATTCTTACTTTAGAAGACATACTGTGAGAATAATCCATCTCTAAGCCTCACAGCCAGAGGATGAGTTAAAAAGTTATTTGTGTGTGCGTGTGTGTGTGTGTGTGTGTGTGTGTGTGAAGTGTTACATCCTGCTTCTAGACAAATGGGGGAATAAAAGTGCTGCAGCCTTTGACTGTGTGCATGAAATGGATTTCAGTTTGTCATTTGGTGAAGATGAATTGCATGAAACTGTGTCAAAGGATATAAAGCTGCTGGTTCATAAACATACTCTGCTGCTAATGAAGCTCTAGTATTATATACACGCGATTAAATATTCTGTGCTCTGCTGGAAGCTTTGCATTCTGTCCAAAACCGTTTTTTAAACTCAGGAGTTTTGTCTGCATTCCCTCAATCAATGGAGGATTGGTTCCAGGCAGCAACAATAATTATTCTCATTGTGACGCAGCCAGGAAGGGATGCTGCATAGAAAGGAATGGCAGATAGGATTTTAATAGGGAAGACAAACATCTTCTGTGGGGGGCATATTACTTTTATAATGAAAATGCTTAAGTGAAAGCTATATTTTAAAGTTAGTTCTCTGTATTGTAGTATACTGAATGCAGTCACTTTATAGCACCTATTTGTTTCCTTGTGTGTGTGTGTGTGTGTGTGTGTGTGTGTGTGTGTGTGTGTGTGTGTGTGAAAGAGATAAAGATTGAGGGAACTGCAGATTAAAAATCAGAAATTCACAATTTTGACGTGTATGCAGCACAGTGCTCTCAGAAAGTATCAGGTATGTATGAAGGAAACAAAAAAACATTCTGAGTAGAGTTACAATAGGGATGCTAATAATAATATATATTTAATTATTCCATTATTATGGAGTGCACATGAATTAATTTCACTTGTTCATTAGATACTTGAACTTCATGGTGTCTTCCTACCTCTGAAACTAAATCTACACACTAACCAATAATTAACAAATGTGTAATGTTGAACATACCTCTTTCCCAGGTTTGCCATCACGCCCAGATGATCCAGGCTTTCCATCTTCTCCCTGTTTGGCACAGAAGAAAATAAAATGGACTATATAAGAGAAACCTCGAGGTAAAGTTAAGGTACAGTTCAGTCGATCGCTCAGGAGAAAATTCTCTTGGATCAGAAACCAAGTTTGACAGGTTTTGTTTTTATATCATCATTGTATTGTCATGTGCTTAAAAAGTTGAATTCAGCCAAGAGGTGAGACACTTAACTTAGCTTAGAAAACATTATATACTACAAACAGTATGCAACATAGAGTTTCATGGAAACTGTTCTATAATTGTAGGATTCGCACCACAATCACTAAAGCTAATGGAAGATAATGTTATGAAGACAGGAGTGCGTTTGCGAATGGCTAATTAGTTCAAACTTTCTTGTTTTAGCTGCTGTTACAAGAGTTTATAGTGTCTTAGATTACCATTTTTGTCACCGTGTGATTTTTTTTTATTTCACAAGGATGGTTGGAGGGAGCCTGCAGATTTAAGATTTTCTTTGCCAACAAGTGTTTCTGTAATTGTAATAATTGCTTTATATACGACAATAAATAACAGATAGGGCAGACTTGAGATCTACAGAGTTAGTCATAAGAATCCATGACACATCTATATTGTACTGAGGTGCAGCGCTAAATCTGTGCCTCTAATTGTGTACAGTATGTCAACTTTCAATATCCTGGATAATAGTGACTATCATTTCCGTACGACTGACAGTTAGTGACAGTATATGAGCAGTGAAGGGCAATTTTCAGTGCGTCTATGGAAACACTTTACGGCTCCTCTGATAAGTTGTCTAATGTCCGTGTGGCAGCACGGGCTGCAGAGCTGAGAGGCTGCCCGCCACGCTGTGGCTCAGTCAGAGTTGTCCGTAATGAGCCATGCTATTGGTCACGGTGCTGTGGCAGAACCTCTCCTGTGGGTGTGTGCCGAGTGAGAGACAAAGCAGCAGGTGCAGTGGTTCTCTCGGAGAAGGTGTTTTCAAAGTGTCAGACGTATCTTGAAATCGCAGTGCGGCATGCCAAACGCTGACTGTGAGCTATTCCAACTGCAGGTAATAGTTCCAGTTATGGCTCTTCAGCAAAGGCAGTTATCTTTCTAAATGCATAATTTATACTATACTTCCCATGCTTTTATGTTCTTATGTTCTTTCGTGAAGGTGCCAGTTTTCGAATCCAAGAATACTGATACGAGCAGAGAACATTCTGCCAAATGTATCACAGTCTAATTGGATGTCTCCTTTTCTTCTTCTTTTTACTTTAATACTGTCATTTGATGAAAATAATTGACATAATTCCAATTGTGTGATACATTTAGTGACAACGTTTATTTGTCAAACCTCCATAGAGGACATCTGACTGCATTAGACCTGTAGAGAGTCGAGCACTATCCCAATAACTGTCCCAGCATGCAGCAGCATTGACTTGTTGTCTGGGAGACTGCAGGTCTCATCAAAATAGAGCAAAAACACTGTCGCCTATCGTATACTAAACTGCACCAGGGGAAGGTGTTCTGCTTTTCCATACAGACTCACATTCTCTAAACCTTTTTAGCTCACATTGTCAGGGTGAAATGTTTAAATTGAACACTGCTGTCACAAAAAGTAGAAGCTTTCACTGCTTGGTGATGCTCATTAGGCAGGAAAATAGTGCCAAAGATGAATAATGGCAAAGTCTCTGTTTCAGAAAAAAAACATTGTGGTTTTTGCAAATGGACCTATTCAAATGCACGAAAAGTACTAACCGTAGGTCCTGGAGCTCCAGGTTCTCCTCTGTGGCCCTTAAAGCCCTGCATAGGAAAAGAGACCGCAGTGAATCAGTCACAGCAATTTGCTCTGCCAGCCTGCTTCATCAGATCCGTTTACTGGTGGTTACTTACCGGGAGTCCCCTGAGCCCCGAGTTTCCTTGTGGTCCAAGCTCACCTTGCTTGCCCTGAGATGAAAACAAAAATTGTTACAGCATCATTGTCTGGCCATGTTTTACTATGACATTTTTCTAAAAACAGAAGATGTGTTGTAGCTCAAGCTTCATATACTCTTTGGATCACTGACGAACATCCTCATCTACTTACAGGCTCTCCTGGTTCACCTGGTCTGCCGTCTTTTCCCATTTTCCCAGGCTGACCCTGCAGATCAATGAAATCTTTCATTTACCTTCTGCAACTGTTAACACCTACAATTACATTTACAACTCAGACTATTTATGCCATACTGCAGGAACTGTGTGCATATTCATGAGGCTGTACATCCAATCATTTTTCTTACGATCAAGCCGGGAAGACCCGGTGGTCCCTGGATTCCTTTGAGACCCTCTTTGCCCTAGAAAATAAACAAACACAAACAGGTCAGTGTCACTAAGGAAAAAGAAATGATAAATGGCCACTATTACCACACGGGCTGGCTGACCTATATGGTAGATGGAAGAGGTTTGTACAGTAATGACACATGGGTAATAAGTTTCTGAGGGGAAAAGTACATGGAGTGCAGCCTGACCTTTTCTCCAGGGGACCCCGGGGGGCCGACGGGGCCAGGCTGTCCATCGTTACCCTGAAGAGGAAAGAGTCAGTGTCAGTGGAGGTCAACCGAAATAGAAAGTGTGGGACAAAATCCAATACAAATGGGCCTGTTTACAAAAAGCTTAATTAGACCATTTCGAGTGCATATAGTGGAAAGAAATAAGACCGAAACAATAACGTACAGGTGTGCCCATCAAGCCAGCGGTACCTGGATGACCAGGGGGTCCTGGGTGACCCTGTAAATGCAGAAAATTTTTTTTTAATATATGTGATTCATACCAGACAATATTTCTCTGAACATTTTATTAATAAACAAGGAGAGAGAGGATGATATGAGTGAGACTGAGTCATAATGACAAATACACCTTTTCTCCTTTCTCTCCAGGGCCTCCTGGGGGTCCTCGATCACCTTTAATACCCTGTGGTGAGAAAAAAAGAAAGACCGTAAGAAATGTCACATTTCAAGAGGAAAGCATTATTCTGAAAAACTATTTGTCAAAGATATTTAATATTACAAAGGAGGAGAATGTAGTAATAGCTATGTTGTTTCAGAAACACAATTCAATACCCTTTTTTAGTGGCGCTAACATAAACCTTGTGAGGTTAATTAAACAAAAATGTTGACAAAGGCAACTAATTAGCATTTGGCACTTTGGGAGCAATACGGGTGCAGTTAGTGCACAAACTTGCCTTTCCTCCGTCGGCTCCAGAGGGCCCTTGAGCTCCGGCTGTTCCCGGGGGGCCCTGTAATATACACAGCAGAGCATCAGTCTCTGTCCGGGCAGACAGGGCCAAGCACCGGCACTGGGTTCTAATCGTTCACTGCTGCCCCCAGAGGACGCCCAGCTAATGATGCAGACAGAGCCTCTCCATCCGTCACACCAACTGTGGCTGATGATGATAAACGTGCAGCACGGACCTCATGCCTCACTTAGGACTAATATGGTGGAGACACACACTTTATAATACTCGTTTAAAGATGAGCCATAGTCTTTACATTACAGGAGAGGTGAGGTTATGGTTGAATATTAATGACCGTGTCCTACTTGGTAACCATCTTGACCGTTTTTCCCCGGAGGTCCAAGGTGTCCTTTGTCCCCTGGGACTCCTGGGAGACCAGGTAGTCCAGGTGGACCTACAGGGCAGTCTGAGCAAACATCCTATAAGATGGCAGAGACATGTTTGTGATGAAGTGATCCCTCTCAGGGTCCAAACATAAAGACTTTTCTCACTGAAGAGGGACGGAAATGCTCCTTACCTTCAGATTTAGGTCAGAGAGGTCTGCTGCCTTTCCCTGAGAGAGGGGGAATAAACGAGTTAATCCAGAGCGGTTCAATTACTGATTCAATTGGGCCAGATGTTAAAACCAGGAAATGTAGATGGGCCAGTCATTTTCAGCAGCCTAAAGTACATTCATCACAACCAGTATCTCAGACAATACCGGTTGTTAGCTGCCAGTTTCTGTACTTACAGGATCTCCTGGTGATCCCTTGTCTCCCGGCCTTCCTGGTAAACCCTGCATTTGGTGCAAAGGCAAAAAAAATTACATTCTCTGACGATTTTAGAACCCTTAAAAATATTCCAATCAAGTTAAAACTCTGCTCATGATCTTTCATAATGTCACTTTTCATGATACAGTTTTCTGTCCGACTATCAAGGCAGGCAGATCAGAGCCTGTTATGTGATAGATGTGGCCGCTTTGGGTGTCCATAGCTATGGAAGCATGGATCTCATAGTAATGCAACATGTATAAAATGATTTATCCATTTATTCATTCATTCATTTATTCATTGTTGGACTCACATTATGTCCTGCTGGGCCCTCAGGACCGGTGACTCCTGGCAGACCCCTAATGCCCTGGAACCCATATAAACAGATATTAGAGAAACACCTTTTATACAAACATATTCAATATGAATCTTTAGAAAATATTTACCGTAGCTCCAAGGTCCCCATTTTTTCCTGGAGGCCCCTACAAAAAAAAAGAAATGAAACATGTCACATTTTCAAATATGTAAATAAATGCACTGGAGGAAATGATATGACCCTGGTTTGCATCGATGCTCGTACCGGTTGTCCCACTTTGCCTTCTCCTGCAGGACCCCTGTCCCCGGGTAACCCTGGTTCTCCTCGCGACCCGGTTTGGCCCTGAGAAAAAAAATTAAATAAATTGACTTCACCCCTTTAGATAATGTCAGCTCAGCAGTAATGTTTGGCTAAGAGCCTCGCTTGGCGAGGAAGTGTCACATTCAGCGATGCCTTCTGATCCCAGACATACCACCCTGTTTTTAATCTGTGATGAAAGAAATATAAGAAAAATACAATCAGCAGTTGACATTCTGGTGCTCAGAAGACAAAACAGTGTCGGTGATGAGGGTGAGCGACTTGACACCATGAATCCAGCAAATGCCCCTGTCCTCCCGGCCCTGACATCCAGCTCTTCAAGGCAAAGAGCCGGTCATTATCACAGCAGTGGTCACAGTGCAGTGGACATAGAAATTGCTTTTGCTGCTTTCAACAAAAATTAATTGTTCTTCTCATCCGTGCCAGAAAAACACATCAACAAAAGAGAACCTGTGCATGATTTAAAAAAAAAAAAAAAACCTCAGGCAACCTACAAAGCTCTCACACACACGCACATATATTTCTTGCTAACTTTAGAGTTACCTTTAGCCCCAGGGGTCCTTGAATTCCTTGTGGTCCCAGATCCCCCTGTAATATCACAAATGACATCAATCAAATTGCTCGCCACTCAAAGACAGCAATTATTATCTTTTGAATAAGTAATTCAGAGGTGAAAGTGTGTACGAGTTGCTGTTCTTCATGCACATAAGTGTAGCGAGGACTCGGGGCCTCGGGGCCACACCTGGCAGCTGTAAAAAAAACAGAGCTGCTGTGAGCCAAATGTGCTGTGCTCCTGTGCTGCTTTAATGCGATATGTCTTAACAATGTTTTTCCCTGTGTGCTCCTGCCTCGTCAGCAGGACGGCCACATGTCTGGGGTGAAAAATGATGAAGAAACGTGTTGAGCTGCAGCGCAGAATGTGCCTACGCAGGCACACGTTTTCCTGCCTTACAGCCGCTCATATTGTGCTGTGGTTCAACGTGCATTACAGGCAGAGAGAGGCCTACAAGCAGAACACATGTGGAGTACAACAGACTGTTCACATGCACATTAATGAGGTTTCTGTTGAAAGTGAACTGACAAACATGCATTTCTATCATAAAAATTCCCTGTGATTTATAATCACACTTTACCGCTGACTTACTGGTGGACTAGTCCTTACAAACTTTGTATTACATAGAGATGTATTTTAAGTACTAGCGGAGATGCAAATGTTTCCAAAGATACTAAATATATCAGGAAATGTGTACAAAACAACACACAAGACTTCTGCAGTAGAATACTTTAAGGATTGTTTTCCAGCCTTAAAGCTACTTACAGGGAAATAAAAGGGAGCAGTGTGATGTTAACGGAGTTTTACTGGACGGAAAGATTTTGAGGAACCAGAGTGGAAACAACATCTAAAGTTATGTATCCAGGTCTTGGTTGAATCTATTTCACTTATATTTGTTGGCTCTTTAAGTGTCCGAACACCACATGCCTTTTATATACATGAAGAAACTGTCACTAAAAAGTAGTTCAAACATTATTCTGGAATGTTTGAAGTATAAACTGAAGTTATAAAGACAACGTGACAGAAATAATATGTCTTACATTTTGTCCATCTTTCCCCTTTCCTGGAGGTCCGGGGGGTCCAGTCAAACCGCCATCTCCGGGTGGGCCTGTGGGACCTGATTGTCCTGGTTTACCTGGTTCACCCTAAAACAAATGTTACAATGAAGAATGAAGAATGAACTTAATTGTCTCTCAAGGCTACAGCAGCTACACCTGTAGGTGGCTTATATACTCCGAGGTGAAACCTTTATTGTGTTCTGCTAGTTTCTACTTTTAATGGCAAATGTTATTCTCTGTGTAATACTTGTATTGTGATTGAAGTTGTGTTATTTATAATCACAGCACTGTACAGAAAAACAGATATGTATCACTGGTATAGGAATTGGTGAAATACCAGCCCCCGGTCCCCCTAACAGTGAACTGAACAGCAATGACGTGATGGGAACAGAATCAAATCAGACTTTTGTTCTTTTTTTAAATCAGTAACTTGTGGAATAAGTCAAAGAAATGAAACAAAGAGAGCGAACAAAGAAAATGAACAGGCCATGAGAGACAGTAGGGAGTGTAGCTACGTGTAGCCGCTGCTGCTTCAAGATTAAAATGAACTCAAAAGCTTCTCTGCTGAAACAATAACGGAGGACACACAGGGTCACACTCTCCTCTCTGTAGACTTATTTTCGCCCCGCATTGCCAAACTCACTCTGAACATAGTGTGAATACTTTCAAAAGAACCTCTTTCCAAATATACCGATAGCTTTTAAAAATAGAAGACTGACCTTGTCTCCTCTCTGTCCGCCTGGCCCGGGAGGCCCAATGATCCCTGGTATGCCCTGGAAGAAAGACAACTGGTATAGTTCCATGCTGAAGTGATTTGTGGCTACTGATCATATTTCATTGTATAGCCACAGAAAACACAAGCAGGCATCACTGACCTCCACTTTAAATTCCTCTCCAGAACCTTACAATAGACTTACCACACTCCCGGGTAGTCCACGAGCACCTTGAGGACCAACAATGCCAGGTGGGCCCTGGGAGAAACACATCAGCCATTACACTACAGTACATCTTCCCATTTGGTGAGAAAAGGTGTAAGGCATTGAAACAGACAACGTACATGGTCTCCAACACGTCCCGTCTCTCCCATTAGTCCGATGTCACCTTTTGAACCCTGGAATAAAAATGGCAAATTAGACGTACTTAAAAATAGACAATAATAATCAATACACTGACTATAGGAGGTACAAGATTCCTAGCATCTTACCGCTAGTCCAGGTGGTCCCTTAAAGCCTTGTTCACCAGGTAACCCTCTTTGACCCTTCAGGAGAAGGCACATGAATTCACACAGTAGTGGTGTAAGAATAGGTGCCAATACGATATCACCTTGCTACACTATTCTGTGACAAAACTTCATCACCTGAATAGTCAGAGGTAATGGAAATAGATACGAGCATTTGCAGGTGTGTGTGTTAGTGGTTGCATCCTGGGATGCTTCAACGTAAACATAGCAACATATTATGCATGCTATTCTGGTCCACCTAATATTCTGTACATCTATAAACTGCAGCGGATAGAGAGTCAGGCCAGTGTATTAACGTCTCTTATAGTTTTATTTAATTAGCACAGTCAAGGCTCCATATTATAGCTCGTCATACCTAATCTCTACTGACATCTAGTGGACACTTTTGGACATTGCAAAAAGTAGTTTTGTTCATTTAAAGAGAAAGAAGACAAGATAGCAAAAGAGAAAAAAACTCACAATCTCTCCTGGTTTCCCTTGATCCCCCTTCTCTCCCTTCGCTCCAGGTTCTCCCTAGAGGAAGATGCGAGGAAGAACAGATATTTTGACTCGTAAACCTTTAGGCGCCTCTTAGACAGAACAAAAATATCTACTTTTGAACCATCGACTAAAGCTGCAATAATCTTACAAGAGGGTTTGGTCTGTGTAATAAAATAGGTCGACTCACAGGCTCACCAGGCTCAGGGATGACATTTGCCACCTGTGAAGAAAAGTCAGACAGTAGATAAAAACTTTCTGAAGCAGTATCCGTTACTTCATGTCTTGAATCCTATTTATATCAGGCTTGTGATTTTACAGTATGTTAAAGTGCAAGGTAGCAAAAGCTAAAATGTTACTTACATTTCCTGGAATGCCAGGTATTCCCCTGGCTCCCTCTTCACCCTGAAGCAAGAGACAATACGGTCACATTGTGTGCATAGTAATGACCTCATCAGAGCTAATACTACAGGGTAACTGCTGTAAAACGGTGCGATACACAGCGAGAAGTCTTTTGATGGTTTGACCTTGTACATCATGTGACACTGGTTCCTTATTTACCTTGTCTCCCTTGTCACCTTTTGGTCCAAGTGTTCCATCCTGTCCTCTTTCTCCCTATGGAAGATAAGCCGAAAATCAAGATTATTGATGATACATTTCTACAGATCACAGAACCTATTTGCACATTAATGCAGGAATACGGGAACTTGACTAATTGGAAGTAGGAACTCAAGAGCAGTGAGTATGAAAGTGGCATTTGGGGAAACCCAGCCGAACCTGAAGGTGTCCCAGGACGTTACCCAGCTAAATTAGGCACAGTTCATTTCACTAGAGTTTATTTCACCAGAAATTATTTCTGTTGCTCAATAAAATAAGTGTCCTTCAGAGGTCGCAAAGCAATTTGTAGATATTACACAATTCAACCCTAAACCAACAACATGGGAAGATCTTGTGAAACAGTGTGTGAATGAACATTGTGTCGCTTGCCACACCTACCGGAACACCCCTATCTCCTCTAACTCCATCACCACCTGTTTGACCAGGGGCACCAGCTGCTCCCTGTAAAAAAAAAAAAAAAAAAAGATATACATGTGACATGATGAACTATGTATCATTACAAAATATCAAACCCAAAAAAGTCAACAGCTGTGAGCTCACTCTATCCCCTGGAGGTCCTCTTGGTCCGGGAGGCCCATCGTCCCCCTGGGGAGAAGACACGCAGCCGTTAAAATGTCAGATAAGCATATGGAAAACAAAACATGCTATATCATAAGCTGCATATGTCCGTTGTGTTTCTGGGTTTATAATGAAGTCACAGTAGTACCTTAGGTCCGGGCTTGCCCGCAAAACCATCTGCTCCGCGCTCTCCCCTGGGCCCCTTCAGACACACAAGATTTACATTTAGATGTCAAAATGTTGCTGTTTAAAAACCTGTGTTTGCTGCAAGCGTACTGTAGTAAAGGTAAACCCACCACAATCTTTAGCCACTGTATTAATGTCATTGTGTCAATTCAATATCCCACAAGCTGTGTTTTCATTGTTTGCTCATACTGTTAGTTGTTGTAGCCTGATAATCAGACTGAAATGCCATTTTGTCTTGCTTGATTCATACGTGAATCTCTGAAAAAACAGATGTTGGCAGTGATTCAGAGGCCTGGAAACACACTTAGTTCCTTATTTTTCATGGAATTTCCCAGGAAAATTGTCTTTGCTTACAAATTCTGTTTGTTCAACATTCTGCAGTCTATGTCTAAGTATATGTGCTACTCAAATACCCAGCAAATTGTATAAGTAATGCAGCTATTTGCCATATTTGCATCTTATGACTTGTAGCTTAAAGACTTGGAAGTCATAAGCCTCAAAGTCAACATTCGTGCAGTGATCACAGCGACTGAACATGAAGCAGTATTCATCGACACACATTTGACATATCCTGGCCTTGCAAAGTTGACATGGCTAACATGTTAGCAAACAGTTGCCTATTTATATATCTAAGGGACACACAGAGCAATATTGGCATGTATTTGAAGTTGTGTCTCTGGCCATCTGATGGACGTAAGTCCAATATTTACTTTCAGCTTTGTTTTTCTGCTCACTTAAGCTGCTAGTTGCTAACTTTCTCTGCTATTTAACAGCATACAGTTCAGATCTTTTTCACTAAAAATGTCTGCCTGCTGCAGCTGGAAACAAAATTTCAATGAGTAAACCAAAACAATGAGCTAAAAGACACTAGTAAGCACCATAGAGCATACAGAACTGCAGATTTGGGTGATAATTCTCTGTGGTTTTGACCCTGAAAGAGGCTCCTTTCATATTACAAATAGCATGTGAGCCATTGTTCACATAAGAGCTTTGTTTGGCACAGCTTTAAAGTGTCATGGTAAGTTGTGTCACTGCAAAAATCAAACAGAAAGAAAGAAAAGAAAGATGATTCTAAATATACTGACCAAAGCACCGTCGTTTCCAGGAAGACCGTCCAGACCGTCTTTACCAGGAAGACCCTTTGAAGATCAAGTGACGAAAGGTCGACATTTAGTGACGTGAACAGAGAAACGACAACAGAGTTTGAACATCTATGAATGAAAATATCATTAACAACATGTGGTTTTATTTGAGAATAAAAGGCCGACTCACAGGCTTTCCAGACTCTCCATGTTTGCCTGAAAATCCAATTTCACCAGGTAGACCCTTCATAAAGAAATAACAGGCTATTCATTCATTTCTTGCCAAACAAATTATAATTTTTAAGAATTATTCTGTCCGGATTTGTATGTCTGGTGACTTACAGGAGGTCCAGTGTGTCCTTGGTTTCCTGGTGGCCCAGATAGACCCTGAGGACCCTGCAAAATAAAAGATATCAGTGAAAATGTATATCACTTGATGATCATCTCATGAATATTAAAATAATGTGGGCTTTTAAAAGGTATCTATACTTTTTTCAAGCAATATATTTGGATGTATGTTGAAAGCAAATATTAATATTTCCCCCATGAATTCTACTCATAAGTACTTTCAAGAGACAGTGTGCATCAGTACCAGTGAACAGCCACTAGAGGGGGATATTGCAGCACTGTTTACAGCTCATTCAACCTTGAATAGCACTTGAAGACAGGTGTGCTGTATTTCTATTTCGCTCCAGGGAGAAGTTTGGCAAAGTAATTGACGTAAAATGTTGGTTTAGATCTAGCTTGTTTTTCTTCCAGCTGTCAAAACAAACAGTGAAGACACCTTGGAGAGAGCAAATTGTGGATCGTATCAAATATTGAGCAGCCAACACAATTAAAATGCCAAATTAAATCTCCTCAATTGTCCTTAAGGTCTGACACATATGTGTGTACATTGTGCTTGTCAAGAAACTGAAATTGTCCTTACAGGGGATCCAGGAAGGCCATCCACTCCAGGCAATCCACTTTCACCTTTCTTTCCCTGAAAGACATTTAAATTATATTAAGAACTAAATTAAAAGACATTCAATGCAAAACATTATTGGTTTCCAGGGCCAATAAGACTGTGGACGCTGGGGTCATGACCAATGTATTTTTTTTTTGTTCCATGTTGGGAGGTTTAGCAATAAAAGGGTTTTAGAAAAGTTTCCGTTTTCCGAGTTTTTTTCTCTATTTGCAGCGTTTTGTCCAAATGCTGCACATGTTGTCTAATCGGTGAAGATGTGTATGTTAATTTAAATATAGAAATTATTAGTAGACAGACAGTCACAAGAAAACTGTGCATTTAATCGCGATGCACTACTGACTCTAAATAATCAGAAATATATAGTTGAAGGTAATTGTCTTTTCACAATGTAGTTGAAATGGACAACAAAGCTAAATGAACGAATTCTGTCTGTGGAAGTTTTTCACTTGCGTTCCTGTCACATTTCCACCCGAATGTCCACAGTACTTTAATGTTCTTTTCTTTATAATGTTTCTTGGTGCTGTCCTTCACATTCACATTCCAACCCAGGCTGCCCTCAGCTGTCGTATCAGGATAGAGGTGAATATATAAGGCCTCAGCAGCGGTGACACACACGACTGATGAGAGCTTTGCTAGAGTGGAGGTGAAAGTGGCTCAATCTATAGCAACTCAACCATACAGCCAACTCTATCAGTGCTGGCAGGAGTGGAGACCACCCTATTATCACAGCTCTCAGCCTACCTTCACCCCCACTCACACTCTCTACCGGTGCATCTTCACATGAGGTACAACAACCATAAACCTGAAGAAAATAGGTCAAGCTCGTCACTATCTGTATTTTTCACTTGAAAAGCATCCATGAGGCTGTAAAAATGCTTCAGCGGGACTTCCAATTATATTACAAAGTAAAAGCAGAGCTGCACAGAGTGAGATTTTATTTGATCTTGTGGAATCTGAACCCAATGTGATGGCTTTATTCATCGAAACGTCTTTCATTTAGGTCCAGTGGAGGTTTGCCTCGTCTCTGCTGCCCAGCTGAGCAGCTGCAAATGTTGATTTCAACATATTGCTAATGAAAAGTGAATTGCTCCCAGAGGAGATGGGGAGTGGAGGTCACTATCTTTGTTAATGTGTTGGAAGAACAAATCATGTAGAACCAATGTGTCTGTTTTAATTACACACTGCCGTGTGAATGGAACAACGTGCACTGAGACAGTGTAGAGGAATATGAGAGAGACACTTTTTGTAGGTAATTATACAAACACTGATAACAGCTACAGTATCAGCTGAGGAATAAATATCAGTTTTCTTTATTCTAAATAATCCCATTGGAATATGATAAATACAGTTATGGGAGCACAGTGTAAACCTCCAATTACTGTAGATTAGAGTAGCAAGAGCTTCTCTGGAGGCAAAGTAATCTAATTTTAGTCCAAACTCAGTGGACTAAAGCAGGAAAAAGCACATGATCTTAATAAGATGCAATGCATGACAACATTTCAATCATTTTGGTTTATTTCCTTATCACAGGATTGTTGTTTTGTTAAACATCATCAGGTTTGGTTTCTTGTGATCACAAAAATAGTCATTGTATTGCAAGAAAACGGTTTCAATTGTCTCAAGATTACAAAGAAATTCACTTTTGATGCAAACCCATCTCCATTAAATTGCGTGTATATACTGTGCTTGTTTGATTATAGTTTGATGGGAAACATTATTGCTCTCAGAGACAGTTTGCATCCTGAGTCCTGGTTGTGGTTCAGTTTAGGCAACAAAGGCCTTTTGGTTAAAGAACAGTGCATTTAGGTTCTATTGAAACGGAATAAACTATACATAAGTATGTTTTCTCTAGTGTATAAGAGTGTGGAAATAAGAATTGTTGTGTTTAGAATGAACGTTTAAAACTAAGGAGCGGGTCCTCTTCACGGAGGCACCCCCCCATGTTTCTACAGTATCCCAGAATCCTCTACAATAGGGCCATTCATGGTTTCACATTTTCATGTTGTCCACCTTAGTTCTAAACACACTTCAGTTGTTTGCATTTTGCAACCTCACCACTAGATGCGGCCAAATCCTAAACACTTGGTTACTGAAAGATCGGGGATACGATCGGGGATACGTCTGTTTTTAAGTTTTAAACCGCACAAATATCTTCATCCAACTGAATGTCTGTATATTCAAGACATTTATTAATAACGTTAATAAATTATTATTATTTATTATGTTGGTAAACATGCTTCTTTAAAAACGTATGTTGTCATGGAATGTAATAATTCAGTCTTACATAAATGTAATTTTAGGGTGCATGAGCAGAAAAGGTTGCATGAGCATTTAAGTGATCATAAAATAATGAAACAAATGTGTCATTTGTGTGTCATTTTACATCATAATCATGGGAAAATGTATTTGCCATAGAAATATTTGGCCATAGAAAAGGGCAGGAGATAAAAGAGGAGGAAGCTACTTTAAATTTTGGGTAGGGAACTTTCTTGCAAGGAATTGAGCCTCCTGTCAGGTTTTCAGACAGATTCTGTCTGCGTCACAAGTATATGGGGTATAGAGCCATGGTTGGTGTGAAGGTCTGCCATCCTAGAAACTGGGCGTGATTTGTATGCAGACTGAGTCACATCACGGAGGAAAGTCCCTAAAGGAGTCTTGCAAAGTTCATGGTTCAAGTTAATGGTTTCGTCAAAGTTCAGATTTGCCGTAATTTGCTTGAATCGTAAATGCGCGGTGCATAAATAAAAAGGAAGAAGGATGGATTGCCACTCGCACTCCTTTTGCCCTATGATATAACTCAACCAATACGATTCATTCTTCCTCCAGAGCAGTTTTGCTTCTGAGAAATAAAGAGATGAACTCAGTCCTCTGAAGCCAGGAACAACAGAAGTAAGCAACACATGTGCAGGTATTTAAACATTATGTACTTTGTTGAGCATCTTTACGTACCAAGTACTGAAATAATGAAGAAATGTGGAGAACAAATGACAGTCCCATAAAAATGAGATTCTTACCCTCTGGCCGAACTCTCCAGGTTCCCCAGGAAGTCCCTGTAGACCCGGAGGGCCCTGAAGAACAAAATGATCAGATACATACAGCACAACTGGCATTTTCATGAACTGCTCAGCACTACAACTGAACAGGTGACTTTTCCACCGCAACAAAATACCAAACACTACACTGCAGGAAAGAGGAAGTAATGAATCATGATCCTTACTTGAGGCCCCTGGGGGCCCTCGGGCCCTGGAGGCCCAGAAGATCCACCATCTCCCTGAAACAGGTCAAACACAGTAGACATATTACATGATATAACTTATATTGCTATTTGAGACTAAACTTACAGTTTACACTGTATGGTTGAACATTTTCAGATATCATATCCTTTACAACATGGTACACAATGGTAGTGTGTTCATTTGTGTTCATGGTGGTGTATTTAGTTGTCTTTGAGGTACTCTTTGAATCTTTACATTCCTATGATAAATAATTAGATTATTGAACGATTACTCACCTTGTCACCCCGTAGACCTTCTTTTTGAAACTGAAATTAAAAGATACGATAAACAAATAATTGTTTTTGAATCAAGTCATCGACAGATCGACTGTGCTACCACGGAACAATCGTTGTGAAACATTGAGGCCATAGACAGTATAACTGGCAACCCTTATCTCACACAAACGGTATTTGTACAAAATAAATCCTCTGTGGCTTCATGGAGAAAAGATAATTGCTTCTTCTGTCAAAGTATTCCCCTTGTGAAGAAAATAAACATATCGGAACGATGTGTTTCTCTGTGCTTCATAGGGCTGCAACTAATGATTTTTTTTCATCATCAAATAATCTGCTCAATATTTTTTGATGGATCGTTTTTAATCTGTACAATATCAGAAAATAGTTAATAAAAAAAGGAAGAAATGGCCCATCGCTTTTCAGAAGTATTCAAATTGTTTGTTTTATCCGAGTGATTATGTTTACCATCATTCATCCTCCAAGAAAAGCATCCTTAAGAAGCTGGGACCAGCATATATTTCTGTCATATTTGCTTGATAATGACATAAATGATTGATCCAATATCAAAATACAGTAGCTGCCTGTCGATCAACTTATCAGTTAAAGCACTAATTGTTCTGTCTGTCAGCGCTCCCTCTAGATGTGCTTACAGTTAAAGAACAAGGTCACCAGGTCCATCTCGCCCATGATTACCTGGTTAGACTTAAGTAATAATCATGTGCCGTTTGTCTTTCTAACTCCATCCCTCCATTATGTTCTTCATCGCTGAACAAGCCTGTAATTCTTTATCCTTTTGGTCGATTTTTGGTACTTACCACATCCCCAGGTAATCCGCGAAGGCCTCTCTCCCCCTGTGACGTAGTTCACACAAGAAAGATGAAAACCCCGTTATTAGAATCAAGAGACTTTCAGGATAAGGCACCTAGGGCAATATGGTAATGATACGACAGCGACCATAATTTATGAGATGACACGTGTGTACTTATTGTAGGCCTAAAGGAAAGTGAAACTTGTGGGTAAAGAGCCATGGGAATTTGCTGCGCATATGTGTGTATGCGTGCGTCCGTGTGCACGCATATGGGTGTGGTGTAAGTATGTGTGCTCCACTGGAAGAGTCATCAAAGTCAGTAATTAGAGACAGACAAATGAACTCACAGAGGAGACGGAGGAATGTCTGGAGACAACAGACAGTAGCTTGAAAAACTGATGATACCTCCTTGAAATGATTTACATCAGCGCAGCTTAATAACATGCTTACGACAATATCTACCTTGAATTGTTTCTAATCAAGTGAACATTTTTTTGCATATAGCAAGGAGGGGGCACATACCTTGATGCCATTATTTCCGCTGGGCCCGGGTGTACCAACCAGTCCTCTCAAACCCTTATCAATTTCAGACAAAAGCTTCATTAATACAAAGGTGACTCACCAAATATGTCGCAGATTAATATCTGTGGTCTGTTCGTAAGTGCAGGATCTTAAATAGAGGACTTACATCTTTCCCAGGAACACCAGGTTTGCCAGGAAATCCATCGAGACCTGCCTCACCCTTAAATGAAAGAGTAGAGGAAAGCATTGATAAAGTACTGCTAACTGTTGTGAAAAACAGTCAACTCAGGAAGTGATTTATGTTACATTTTGTTTACAAAAAAAAAGCATAATTAGCATGTGCAGTGGGGGGGCAGTTTTTAGAGTTCATCCTAAGGTAGACATGAATGGCTATCCGGTAGATGTTGACATATTTCAATCAAAGCTACAAACGAATGCTGAATAAGGAATGTTTAGGCCACAAAAACGGCTACAATTAACTTCTATGAACTGAAAACGCACTCTGAAACGCTGGAATTCGAGCACGCAGACTAAAACCCACTCAGACATCGCCGTGGCACCAACCTGTCAATCAAAAGATAGCCACACCCTAAAGCACACCCTGCTTTATTGTCTACTTTACTCTGAATGGGACCATAACTTACTAAATAAACATGATGCTGTATTGAAGAAGACTTGAAACTGGCGATTGAGACCATAAACTCATGTTTACAATGTTTACTGAGGTAATAAATCAAGAGAGAAGTAGAGTCATTTTCTCATAGACCTCTATGCAATCTGACTTCTTTTTGCAACCAGAGGAGCCGCCCCTTATTGGCCAGAAGAGACAATGCAAGTTGAAGTTACTTTCGCATTGGCTTCACTTTTCAGACATGGGGGTTGCTGCCTGAGTATATATCAGTTCCAGTGGATATGTGAAAACCTTGACCTCCTGGTGTTGCAAGTTAGCAGATCACCAAAGTCACCACCACAAAGGGGCACCATTACATCCGTACCGAATTCCACGGTATTCCATTCAGTCAAGATATTTCCGTCTGGTCCAAAGCGGTGGACCAACGGGCCAGCATAACCGTCCAGAAGAAGCGCTGTGTTTTCAGTCATCAAACATTGCCATGACTTCAACCCCAGGTGCCTCCTCTAAACCACCTATTCCCTTAATCGCTTTACTGAGACAAGTACTTTTCCAGTCTTCAACTACAGGAAATTGCTTACTGATTGACTGACAGACAGCTCTAAACCTGGCATCAGTATGTTTGAATGGAGCTTCAGTATGAACTTGCTGCACATCCTCATGCCATATGGCAAAGTAATTATTCCATGTTTACTGCTTTATACAGGCCCCTTGTTAAAGTCACAAAAACATCTTGAAAACTTGACTTCCATTGGAGATCATTGTGATGCTGGGAAAGAACCTTTCACGGATTTATTAGAAGTCTGACTTGCATTCTAACATCATCGTGATGACTAAAGAGGGGAGGTGTTAGCAGCTCGGAGGAAACTTCAGACATCAACAAAGCTTCAGTAGGCCTGAATGAGCTGCACTATAGCCAAACGCCCCCACAGGATCCCAGACAGGAAGTGTGGAGAGTGAATCAAGGAAGCCACATCTGTTTGCACCATTACTCCCCTCAGCTCTCTGTTCCTCTGAGAAGAATTGCCTCTGTCAGAAGTTAACTCTGTGGTCAGGGTTTTTTGCAGTTTGAACTCTATTCTGTACAGGTTCAAGCTAACATACATGGTTCAAATCCTGGGACATGCTGGTGAAACATGGACAGTAAAAATAAATGTGTAACCCAGCACCTACTATTTTTTTCAAGTGCTTTTGAGCAAGACGCTGAACCCCTATCTGCTGCAGTATATGCTGATCTGTCACTTTTGATTTATTTATATCAAAGAACGTAGTGCAGTATTACTTACCCGGGCTCCCGAAGTTCCTTTTTCTCCTTTTCCACCTGATTCACCCTACAGCAAAATGCAGCAACATTATAATATAATCCATAAAAAAATATATATTTGATAATTTATCAATATCAGATCTTCACTCGGTGAAGTGCATTCAGATCATACTCACAGTGACACCTTTTGGACCTGGGGTGCCAGAAATTCCTTCATCCCCTTGAATTCCCTAAAATAAATTGAGTAACATTCTGTTAGCGGGAGTTTTTTAGACTTGGCACTCTTCCTAACAGTGTTGCAGTGACATACTGTAGGCCAACTGGGGGGCTGCTGAGTCAGAGGTCAATCAATGTAAGAAATGTAACTGACGAACTAGGAACCTGCCCCAGCATACACAGCGTATGAATGTTAGCATGTATTTGGTGTCGCCCAATGATGAATTTATGTCTAATATTCACTTTAATGTTCGGACTTTACAAACTCCTGAGAAGAATATAGGTTGCTAACGTTAAGTTTGACTAGCTACCATCGCTAACTTCCGCCGCTTGTGCTAGGTAGTCAGCGTGCAGGGCTCATCGGAGATTTAATGCTTGAGACGGATGCTGTTGCAGCAAAATCGTTAAACCATACAGTAGCCTACATGAACCATAAAAACAAAACAATGAGTTAGGCTAATAAGGATAAGTTTGGTGATAATTCCCTTATCCTCTTGGAAAAACATTAGACAGATTAGACACCATATTTGAAAATTAGAAATGCTAAAATGCTTCTTTTAGAGTGTTCACGTTCTAATACACATTTATATATTTTTGGACGGTAGCATTTAACTAATTGAGTATTCTCTGTATTGTATCAAAGGGGGCAATCAGTCCCTCCAGTCCTGGTTCGAGCAGCCTGTCACAGTCCATTGACCGAACCTGAGCCAACACCCTGCTTCCTCTTTCCCCAGCTGCTGCTTCATCCAAGGGAAAGTCAAACAAACTGCCCCCTTTTTCACAGGAAATCGATAACGGGCTGAGAGGTAATTGTCCAGAAAAATGAATGTACGGCCATTAAACAGAACAAGTGTGTCTCTGAGATCAGTGCCAATAACGGAATGACTAAAGATAACCTTTTTTTTCCCCCCGCATCAACATCATGATTAGTAAAATGTATGTGCACTGGCTCGTGAATTAATTTTAAAAATGGGAAGACCACATTCACAGACCTTTTGTCCAGCTTGACCTGTCAGCCCTGGACCACCAGCCAGTCCTGCTCCACCCTATTTACAGAAGAAGAAAAAAACACTCGGATGAAAACACACATATTAGCACAAGTGTTGCAAACCCTGACTGAAATATCAAAACATTTATGACTTACTTTGTCTCCTTTGTCTCCAGATAAGCCATCGATGCCTGGCACACCACCAAGTCCCTGTCAGATGATGGGAAACACAAAATGAATACCAGAAGAGTATGTGAACGTTTTTAGATTCGACATATTAAAGAAATCCGCCACATGTCCGGGTTCACCAGTGCCACACCTTCTCTCCTTTTTGTCCAGGAGCACCTGTCAACCCTATCCTGCCTGTATCACCCTGTGAACAGAAGGCAAGTATTTACTTTGACTGCTCTGTCGAACATAAGCATGCAGGATGGCCGGTAACACAGGAGACGATGGCGTGCTGTCAGAATATCAACCTGGTGGCATCGCAGAACGAGGTTTAGTGCATGATGGTTAATGTAGAACAAATGTTTGAGAGGAATTAATGGATTTCATTATTTGAACAGTGATGCATACATTTGGACAAAAGACAGGCGTTAATATCACACAGAACACAAAGAGTTACACACGACAAGATACACAGAGACACTTTTGAGTAAATGTTTGGGAGCCGGAATGTGCCAACAGCTGTCATCACCTTCACCAAGACCCACTATGGTCTGGTCACACGTCCAACCAAAGACTCAAGGAACAATGGCTTTCCATTGGCTTCACAGTGTTGCACTTTTGGTTTGAACAGTGATGTCATAAGCTATACCAAGGACTCCCTTGGAATTCGAAGGCTGGACTGAGTGAAAAGTAATAGCAGTTAAATTACACAGCACCACGAGGTCTTGCCCACCGCAAAACTTCCCTCTGCTTCATAAACCACTTTACAAGTCACAGAAGGTCGCCCTTTAATTATTTTAGGAGCTTTTATCGTTTTAACGCACGTCATGTCATGCATCACAGAGATTAGGAGAAAGGTCCCCCGCTCCGCTGCCCCATATAACGAAGAAGACATTATCTACAACAACACTGCTATGCGGGGAATTGCCCGCCATTGTCAGCTAAAGATGCAATTAGAAGCAATCAAAGCCGCATGAATTCACTTTCACCCTATGCGACTCGATGACCGACGCAGCCGCTTTCAACCGCTGCTTGGAGTCGCCTTACGTCATGTTTCCGCATCAGCTTTAGAAAAGTTTGCGACAACAAATTGCAGCCTTCTCCAGGAGGAAAGGAAAACAGATGCTCATGCAGAAAGTAAGACATAGGAAAAGCAACAGGGATATGCTGCATTAAAGTTTGATTTAATGCAGTTTTATCAACCCAGCAGGGTTTCCAGCAGCAAGAACAACAAGATGAAAATCAATGTATCACGAAATTAGTACTGCTGTCTGTCTGACTGCTTTACTGACATTAAAATAACGATTGACAGCTCCCCACTGGCTTTTTAAAACACTTTACATAAATCTGTATTATTCAAAATAATTACAGATGCATTTTTACAACTATCACAAACAAAGTAGATAACACAAGTGAGAAGACCACGTCTCAGCTTCCAGACCTCTTGGGGCCATTTTTAAGTGTCCCTCTCTGGACAGCTTGAATGATGCATACTCAGGATTTTGTCTCAAGGAATAAATTATACTGTGAGACTTCCAGCTGGCAGTGCCAGGCAGCACAGAGGCTGTGATTTGAACAGACTTGGTGGGCATCTGCCTAGGCCTGCCCTCTCGTCTACATATCCTCTGTGGTACCCTGACCTCTAATTCTGACAATCACAGCTGTTTGAGCATTTTCCTACACACTCCCTGACAAAAAAGAGTCAAAGTGATAAAAATATACATAAACTACCAAAATGGAAAAAAACATAAAATGAAAGAGAGGAAAAAAGAAAGATGTAAAATAGAAAATTGAGGGAGAAATTACAAAATTGTGTCCAAGATGTACATGCATATAAAATATGCATGGAGACAAACATGCAGCACCAGGAATAGCAGGTGTACTTACCTTCTCACCTATATCACCTTTGACAGAGATTATTTTGCCCTGCAAATAATTAATCGATAAGGATCAATTATTCTCGAGGCGGCAAGAAAAGCAGAGATAATAGCTGGAAGGCATGCAATCTGAAATAAATGAAATGTGTATCATAGTATATCTACAGAAAGTCATTACAACATTGAACATGATGTGCTGAAAATCAACCAATTAGCTATTATCTCTCCATTAAATGGAAAATCACGCTTGTAAATGTGCACATTTTTATTTTTCATACAGTTTCTCCTTTTTCTCCTCTGATTCCTTGAGCTCCGATGGCGCCCTTAAGGCCAGTGTCACCCTAAAAACGTAAGTTCACAAAGTAAACAAACCACTCTGTAATGAAAACTGTAAGCTCTTGTTACACACAAACTAGTACTTAAAACCAATTGTAGATGACCTTTCCACCCTTAGGACCTGCCACACCGGGTGCACCGATCTCTCCCTGTGAGAAATGAAAATACAGAAGTCTTTCGAAAGCCATTCAAGAAAGGATTCCCACTCATCTGTGAAAATAATAGACGGGGATAAAGTCTGGTAGAATCAGGTGGCTTTACCGTATCTCCTGCAGGGCACGAACAGTTCACTTGAGGGCTTCTTTGTTGCTCCCCAGTAGTAGGTGTTGGAGCGGGGATTTCAATTGGGGGGGCCTCCGTAACAACTTTCTTGGGGCACTGAAAAGATTAAACGTACGGCAAAAGTAATGGTCAAACCAAAAAATAGCATTGGTGGTGTCAGGACTGTGTGATGAGCATTACACAATAGCAATAATAGGCTTTCAGGTGATGTCACTAAAGTTGCTGATTGCTTTTTAAAGTAGTTTGATATTGGGCCACGTTCATTGGAAGCTGCTCAGTGGCACTTGAAGCAAAAAAAGTTTGACTTCCGAGTATAAAACAACCCGGATCTTCCGGCAATCTTCCTCATCCATTGGCCTATAGAGCAAGCGCACAAGCGTTTCTTATAACTCCGCCTCCCTCCCTTTCGGTCAAGCCTCGATCTCATGCTTGACCGAAAGGCCATCATTTCTACAAGCCTCTTTCCCAGTGTAAGTCTATGGGGAAAGTCTTATTAGGCATCACGTGATGGACCCGGAAGTTGTAAATACAAAATGCCTTCAAAGCCCGGCGCTCCTCTTGGGGGCTTGGATTAGCATTAAGCTTATTTTACTGTAGCCATTAGCTTAGCTTAGCATAAAGACTTAAAGCAGTGAAATACAATAGTAGTATTTTGTTGCTGTACAAAATGAGCCTGGTTGTATGTCAGATATAGAAAATAACAAAGCCAGAAACAGAAAGTTCATGTTAACCTATCTAATTGTTTTCCAGCTAAAAATCTAACTTTAAATTAGAAACTAGCTTGACCTAAAGACAAGGCAGCTTACTCTGTTAAACCTGTAGTTACATCTACTTTTAGACACTGCCGAAAATACTCACAGGTCCATTGGGTATATCACAGCAGGTTTCCAGCTCTGCATGCTTGGAATCACAGTAAATCATCATCCTCTGGAGGTCAAACTGCGCAGAAACAGACAGACAATTGATGAAATTATCAACGTGGAGAGTATTGGGAAATTTAAAATCTATTACAACCTCTCACAATGCTTCATTCCATTATAGGAGTGTAGTAAACAAGCACAGATATGGGACAAAGACTCACATCAATTGGCACACTGTCATACAGCCTCTTCCCAATCACTGTCTTCCCCTGGATATCAATGTCCTCCCTCTCTTCAATGGGCAGAGTCTGGATGTGTTTGCAGTCCAGGTACAGAGACACAGACTTGGCCTCCACGCTGAGAGCAATCTTGTGCCAGTTGCGGTCAAACAGGTTGTCAACTTCAGGGTTCTTGAACACAGCTCTGACGGCGTCTTTTGTCAGGCCGACAGCATTGTACTCCACCCCCTTATTCTCACCGTCCAGGCGGATGGACACCTGACAGGACAGAGGCAGGATAATGTTAACGACAGGAGCTGAAAGATACAGGCCAACAGGTTCAGGGATGGAATGTACCCACTGAGGACATGTACTCAAGTAGTGTTCTAATTACAATTTTGAGGTACTTGTACTTTATTTAAATATTTCCATTTTCTGCGGCTATGTGCTTTTAATCCAAACCGATACATTATGATGATTATATGTATTATTATAGCTTAAGATAAGTATTTAGTGATTCCCATGGGGAAATTCACAAACTACCCCTGAAGCATATAAAGTGATTAAAATTAGCCCCACCGTTAACAGATGCAATATTAAAATGTATCCATTCATTCATCAATAATTACAACCCACAACTATAATATATCTGCATAATGAGTACTTTGGTATTAATCATTTTGAATGTAGGACAGAAAGAAAACTTGTTGTCTGTGGAGTCAAATATGAAAGTTAATAATCAAGCCGGAGTAAATCCGTCTTGACAGAAGTAAATATGATATTTTCATGTTTTAATGTCAATGTTTTAAGAAGGAACTGAATAGTCAGTGAGCTGAGCCTATTCTGAGTTGACATTGTAATTGCTTGAATCTAGCCACACAGGCAGTTATAGTCACATTTACTACTATTTACATTCGGCTGACCCACCTGTGGGATTCCATATTTGTCAAAAACCTGCCAGAGGTACCAATCTTCACGTCTTGAGGTTTTCCTGAATTTGAATGTCGTCACAAAGGCATATTCATCTGGCAACCCTTGAGGAAACATATCCCTGCAGAATAAAAGCACATTGTTATAGCTTGTATAAAAAGTGCTTTATTTTACTTAGACACAGAGTTACAGATTCGACTTTAATGTACAAACTCATAATGAAACACAGTGTCTATGTTTCACCGAGTAACCTTTTCTGTCTGTACTGTTCCTTCTCTCCTAAGCAGAGTGACGTGGCATTATTCTTATAAAGAACTAAATATCTCTATACAGTTTTATATTTTGACATCAACTGTAACACATGCTGATACATCTAACAAAATGTCTGAGAAAAACATTTGATTTAAAAGCGCACAAAACATTATTTTGTATTTTTATATTTTGTTTATTTTCAGTTGGGGCCTAACAGCTCATTTCTACCCTGGTGTTCCCTGACAGGTTTCTCAGTCCATCACTTTAAATCACATCTTTAAAAATATTTAGAAGACAATGTACAGCTTATTGTTTGCAATATAACAGAGTGGTCACTCACTCTGTTTGCTGTACAATGGGCATGGTGCCAAGGCGAACGTAAGAACTTTGGCCTTCGTCCTCTTTGGTTCCCAGAATATCTCTCACGTTGAAGTGCTCCATGAGGTTGAACCCTGCAGCAACACAGTAAAATAGCCCAGTTGGACTCATGACAGCCTCTCACACACAAATAAATAAGCATAAATAAGTCTTGAGGTTGAGTTAGGACTTTGTCAGATTTCTTGGGTGCTGGGGTTTAATTGGGTCAGTCCCACCACACCCTGCAGCCACTGTGTTTGTGACTATTTTGGTGGAAGATTAAAATCACTGAATAACTGGAAAATAGAGCCATTTGTTGGCAATTCAACATTTATTTGATTTGTTGCCAGAGGAAAAAACTAGTTGCCATCTCTGTTAAGGTCTGCGTACGAGTCTCGAGAGAGTGTGTGTGTGTGTGTTGCCCTGCAGCGTGTGATTTGAAGTGGTGTAACCACAGGTCATATTTAGGTGGTTTGGAAAGGACACTCCCTTGTACAACAAACAAGCACTGTAGCTATGGCAATGCCAGCAGGATGATAGCTTGTACAGCACTAATGCTGCCAGTTTTTCCAGCAGATCTCACTGAAAGCTGGTGGTTATGTTGTTGTGCGACGAGCAGACTGTGCCATTAGCAGACAGGATGAGGACAGCCTCAACATATTCCTGCATGGCCTCAGTAATGAAAAAAAATCTATGAGAAGTCAGGTTTCCGTTGGGAATATTAGCACCGGTGCGCTAATCTTCCGAAGAGGAAACGGGAACATTAAGGTGGTAATGTGAGAGTCTGGCAAAAGCTTAGTGGAGGTCATTAGAAATAGCCTTGAAACAGGTGGTAAGAAGCACAGGCTGCCCATGTGTCATTAGCAACAGAGTAAAAAATAACCTGAAAAACAAGAGCCATCATAACAGACCGAATAACTGACTGGCTCAGTCATCTGTCACAGCTAATCTGTCAGTGTGGTGTCTTTGATTAACTGCTGGAGATAACAGATTATTACGCACTCACCACAGGAGGGAGACTTTCTGCTGGTTCGTACATGAACAAAACCTGTTTTGGGGGACATTTTTCATACACCTCCATTCATTTTAGATGCCATTTAATACACTTGCATCTTTAACAGCTTCCACATCTGGTCAGTAGATGGTGCTGTCTCTGCTTTGTCTCAAATGCACGACAACCTGTTTAAGCATTTTGTTTGTCTAACCAGGAACAAGATTAAAGAATAAATGTGAATTTTGTTTTTCAATTTTTGGATCTTGTCCCTTGTTAAATAAAAGTGCAGTTACTTTTATTTTTATTTCATGTTCTTTTATGCTATCGGCAGCATTGTTTGTATAGCATTATCACCCGTTTGAAGACTAAATCTACAAACTCACGAAGAACTAGCATAATCTGAAAGTGCCAGACCTATTATTGTAGCTATGTTCTCTTATGGTACCTGTGTGATCTTTAGGTTTTTCAAAGGTTAAAACCGATTGACACACTTATACTTGTAAAAACACGACATCTCAGGCCAAACACATGCAGCTAAAACGAAAGTCTGTTGAAATCTGCTGATAGAAACCTGGTTTGAAAGGGATTGGCTTATTTTTTTCACACAGAGCAGGAGTCTAGCATTTCTACAATGACCGGTGGTAATAATTTGGGAAGTGAAAAGGTCAAGCGACTTGAGCCTTGGTGATGCTACACTAAGGGATGTTTTGCTGCTCATCAGTGCTCGCTGAAGGGTTTGCTCGAGGAAGCCGTGCAGCTGTGAGCCTCGACTCTCTTTGTCACCATGCTTGCGTCGTGCACATTCGCTCGCCGCGTCGTTTCTGTGGCTGTCACGGGGCCATCTCAGCACAGAGCTGTAATTTGGACTGGCAGCAGATAGCATATAATCAACCCAAAAAGTTATTTTGGACGGCCCAAAAAAACGACCAATGGGGTGATCTGCGGGAAAAGCCAGATGAGTTCACTGACTGGGAAAAGGCAAACGCATACACACAGCATTCTTTTGATCAGAGCAGATGGCAGCGGTTGTGCAGTAGATAGTGAGCACATGAGCTGCAAAGACGCTGTGCAGCCTCCTGTGTGTGCTCAGTACCCTGAGGGGTCAGACTAGAAAGCCCATGATAAACACAAGTCTGACTCAGACCGCAGGTCTCTTGGCTGTCAAATCGTAATCAGCGGCAAACTAGTCTTGACATTTCTCACGGAGAGTTATACTCTCTGCACCAGAGTAGAGGACATTTGTTGGGTAATTATAAGTGGGAGCTTACAGCTTGTTATAAAGAAAAATACTGTTTGTCTTGTTCTTCTCTATATGTAGACAGGTTCTCTATGTGCTTCCCCACAATTTGAAAGAAAAGCACTTTACTCAATTAAGTTTGACAATGTATGTCTTTAAGTGAGGCCACAGTTACAGACTTACAGCATTTTGGGAAAACCCCGGACATCTTTGTCATGTCAGGGAGCTTCAGACCTCAGACCGCCGTTTGATAACAGCGGTGAAGGCCCAATGCAGGTTCAGGCTCTGAGATGTGAGTACGACACAACTGTCAATAGTAAATTGAAAAAAACATATTTTAGCTGGGGACCTGCTGTGGCCTCTTCATGTTCTCTTGGTGGTTCTCTGTGAGAACCATTATAATATAGAAATCCACTTAAGTTACACCATGACAGTAGCTAAGGATTTAAAATGATTATATTAGCTCTAACAGCACCATTGCATTTGTCGTGCTGGTTCTCATCTACTTTCCCAGTGGAACAAGACTTGGATCGGAAAGACAAACAAAACAACCCGAATGATTTATTCCAATTAGAGTGCTTACATCTGACAAAGTGGTACATCTGTATCACGAAACATCAGTGGTTTTTTAGTGATTTATCTAAAGTTTGTTCCAATTCCTGTGCAGTTTAGAGGAAAAGCCATAATTAGCATAATTAGCACTTGTCCAATGGCAATCATCTGATAAAATGTCTCTGCCAAAACACAGGATTAGCTGGTCTTTAACTTTGACCAAAAAGCTACTTTAACTGGTATAAAAAACATTTAGTTTTGAATGTGTCAGGTTATCATATCAAACTTGAAGCTTTCTACCAGTGGGGGCAACACTGACAGTGATATACTTGTAATATACTTGAGTTTTTCCATCATATGCTCCTTGATACTTCATACCATTCTACCACACTGTAGGACTACTGTAGGACTACTGACGTCTGTGTGGAGTTTGCATATTATGTCTAAATGGATTTCCTCCAAGTGCTCTTGTTTCCTCCCTCCAAATGAATACATTCATGTTAGATACATTAGAAATACCAAATAGGCTGTAGGAATGAATGTGCTTGTTTTGGCCCTGTGATGGGCAGGTGACTTGTCCGGGCTGTACCCTGCCTCTCATCCAATGCATGCTGGGATAGGATCCAACTCCAACGACACTGAAAATGATGGGTGGGTAAACCGAATGGATGGATTGTTCGATTTGTGGATAAATGTTCATTATTCCTTATTATATTGTATTTGTTACAGGAATGCCCACTTCCATCACAATATAATGATGCTTCAAGAATTTCATCGGTCCGGGTTTCACTAAGTTTTATTGACAGAGGAAGATTTAAATGTTTTATGGACCTTTATAGCCGGACAACACTACGTTTCTTAGGAAACACAAACTACTGTTTTTTGGGGAAAATAACTGAATACTGGCACAAAAGAGTCCATCAACAAAATGTCAGCAATTCATTATGAAAGACGCCGTATCAGTTCTCACAGATTATCAGGTAAATGCCAGATGAATTGCAAATTGCAAATTGAGAGTCCAACTTTCTAAAGCACAGCTTACACTACTCTGACATCTCTCTTTCCATGAAGTTCAACGTAGCAGGAGTCCAAACAGTCATGCCAGTGCATCTGTTTTATCTCTTAGCGTGATGGATGTGGGTGGGAGACGCAGACAGGAACTCAGATCCCCCAAAAGACACTCTTATAACAACATCCGACCTTTCTGGTTAAACACTATGCAAGAGTTCTCAGAAACCTGTACCACAGCAGTTTGGAATTTATGAAATCAAAACATCAAGTGGTGGAGGACTAGTAATGCGCTTTACTTGATAGACGACTAGTTCTACAGCTGAACATGAAAATCACAGCTGCATTTAAAGGAACAAGGTGTGTTTGCAAGTTTTCCCTCCTAAAAGGAATAGTTTGACATTTTGGGAAATAGGCTTATTAGCTTTCTTGCTGAGAGGATCATGTCTGCATAATAAATGTGAAGCAGAGGGAGACAAGTAGCTTGATGTTTCGAAACTTTTGAAACTTTAAATAACAAGATATTTCTCTGTTAATGAGTGAGCTTTTCTCAGCAAGAAAGCGGAAAAGCCTATTTCCCAAAAATGGGACTTTGGGACCAACATTTTGGTGTGATTGATTAAACACTTCAAGCAAGTTTGAAGGGCCAACAAATAGATTTTCATATCATGGAAATGGCTGCTGTTTACTTTAGACAAAATACATCTACAACACAGCAGCATTAGTTTGCAAAATAAGCTGTGACTAGTGGGAAAAATGTGTGTAAATTCAAGTCTGCCAGCCTTTCGTTTTTGCAAGTATATTGAGCTTTTATAATGGCAGCTTAAAACAAGACAGAAAATGAATGTTGCAGAAAAGTAATACTTTTCAAGTCATGAATAAAACCAATTTCCAATCAGATCGAAAAAGAGGAAATTGTGAGTGAAAACTGTCTAAACCTTTGCATATAAATAAAGTTTCTCCTCATGTACCAAAGCAGAATGTGGGAGTGTAGGAAATGCTTTGAAAAACACAGAGCTGACTTTGTGGTGGACAAGTACTGCCAGCGCTGCATGTCGCCGTTATAAAAGCAGCAGTTTGCACATACCTGGAACCTCTTCAAGACCATAACTGGTGCTGTTGGGCTTAAACCGATCAGGTTGAACCTTCATGTTCGGACACAAGACATCTGAGGAGAGAGGACAATAGTTCAGTTAGACATGCTGTAAATCAGGATACAATGATCTTCTGGGAGCACAGGTTAGGCAAGTGACTTTTATTGGTAGCCATCCTTTTGGAAATCTAACCACGTGACAGGAAGCAGTCATTCTGAAACTTTATGAGGGGTCAGATGGAAAAAGGTGTGAATTGTTTGATTGTTTTAGGAAATGGTGATCTCATTGGAACACAGTCTCTGGACTGATATGTGATCTGAAGAGCACCAGTGCAGACAGACTGTCCATAATCTCTCCTGTTTGAAGTCTGGGGAGCAGAGTGTGTAGTTCTACATGAGCATGAGGCACCTCCATAGGCTCAGGGAGCAGTAACAGTTTTATATTTCCACACACACATATTTCAGTCATGGTGATGACATCGAGAAAGGCAATACACTCAGTTTACGTTTTTATTGGCAGAAGGGGTATTTTCTATCTGTGTCAAGATGCCAGCTTCCCTGCTAAAGAGCGCATATGTGGATCCTGTTCAGTTTATTAGATGTAAACATTGGAGAGATTGACATTTTATTAGGTTCAGTTCAACTAAATTACACAAAAACAACAAACATATTTTGTCATTCAGAGGTGGTGAGTCGAGGTTGCTGCCGAAGTCTTAGACGCGTTAGCAGCATGGCTGGATGGCAGTGTCAATTGGTGGCTTCACCACTATGGTCCAGATAGAAACTATTGAAGGGATTGACATTAAATTTGGTACAGACAACCATATCTCCCCCGGGATACATTTCAACAACTATTAGTTTTCATCTAGCACGATAATCAGTTTAACATTTAACTGTCCTATTCTTTGTTTTATGACCAAACACCTGCAAAACAAATGGCATTCCATCTGCCTCAGCTGTACCTTATGTTTAGTGTTACTAACCAACTGCTAGCATGCTATTATGCTACATTTTAGAAGGTGAACATGGTAAACATTATACCTGCCACATCAGCATTTTAGCATTGTCATCGAGAGCAAGTTAGCGTGCATGTTTTTAGCATTAACCTAAAGAGCTTCTCGAAACGATCATTGACCCTAAGTCACGTTTGAATCAAATTTTTCATTTTGAGCACAATGTGAGAACAGTGAACAAAATTTCGATTGACTCCATTTCATTTGAGTGTTGTGAGAAATCTTGGTTAAAAAAAACTAAACTATCTGCAGCTTTACCCTTTTTATCATGTAAGGCTTTTATCCGAGAATACATCCCATTTATCAATCTAAATTAAGGGCTGAAACAGAAATAAATGTCCTATCCCCACTAATTAATTGGTGAATTTGCAATGAAATGAAAGACAAATCTCATCAGTCTGTTCTAAAATAACTTTGATCTGGTCCCCTGCATTCATTTTACAACTGACAAGGTGAATTTGAATAGAACCTCCTCATTCATCCCACACAGGAAGATACACTTTCACATTGTTGATTAGGCATGACAGCAGGATCCTGTCATTAGTTTGTAATCAATCTGTTCAGAGAAACGTCTAATTAGATAATGTCAGCCCAACAATTTGTCTGTGTCATGACTGTCAGCTCTAAATATTATCTGTGGCCGAAAATATCACAGTGAGACACTCCAACTTCCCTAAAAGATCCAGTATCTGTCAAACATCTACTATCAAACCCTGCAATTTTCTTAAATCACAGCGATAAAAATCATCCTACCGGAGTGGCTTTTAACCTTTGCGGTGTTCTTTATGAGCACAGCTCTGTTGACATGGCTTGTTTTTCTGTTCCATGCAAATCCCAGACCATGCTTAATAGGAAAATCCAAGCAGCTAATGTTAACTGTCAGGACTTGCATACTCGTTAGTAATTCTACAAGAGGCGTTATCTCCATTTCACAGTTATCTCTAATTCCAGCTGTATAGTGTGTCTTGTTTGCGTCTTCAGTTTGCTAGCAGTGACATTAAAGGAGCCTTTTCTTCTTTCTTCTGCCTTTAAGTCTTTTTAAAGTGATAGTTGAAGATCTCAGAAAAGATGCTTGGTCTTTATTGTTCATAAAGCCAGCAAGTCTACCAAAAATTACCGTTCTGTGAATTAATGGAAGTGCGTCACTCTTTTTTAAGACGGTGTTGTTACACAGCAGTGCGACGTAGCATGCTGAAGCTGAGCTACTCCCTGCACTCGTGGCCCTGGAGCTATAATTTAGGAATCCGTCTGCGAGTATGGAAGCGATGTAAAACCTGCCTTTGGAAATGGATGTCTCAGGCAGATTCATAAGCAAAAAGCTGGAGCATTTCACACCTAACAACCACCACTTTCTTTTGCAGCCAGGATCTGATACATTTTTTTATTCTTACTATTACCCATGCTACCTGTCATCATAATGGCTGCTGTATCTTTTAAACACACTGCAGGTGTTAGACAGGAGCTTTGATAATAGAGTTCTCTGTCACTGGGGTCATGTAAGGTCAAGTGTGTGAGCGAATGCGTTGGTAAAGCGAGGCCACACATGCTCTCATGAATCAGTGCAGAACATAATAAGTAGAGTCCGTTTTTAAACCTACGGATTAAAAGGTGAAAACATTCAACATGGACTTTGGAGCGGCTGCACTGCACCCACATGAAACATTAGAGCTATAATTTTCTGGGTGAAAATAACTTCTGAGCCAGTTGCGCTGACCACTGATATACTTAGGGACTCACTTGTGGTGATTTTAGAGATTACAGAAAGAAAACATTGGAACTTTCTGCCTGTGTAAATTTAGACCTTGGTTAGTTCTACAGAGCTCTGAAGGTGCATGCACAGCATGTTTTATAATATATAACCTACATTATATAACTTACATTATTAGTTGACAGATTCAATATTTATGGAGTCAAGGAGCAAAGTCAAAGGCCATTGGCTTTAAAATGAGTGTCTCTGCAGGATGATATGTCCTTAAAAAAGAATAAAGGAGTTTCAGAGTCTGAAAACTTCCTTTAGAAGAATCTCTAGTTTTGACTTGCCAAACATGACAATTTAGAGCCAGATTAAAAGTATCTCACTTTTAATTTGAGTTTGTCTTTGCTCATCTGTGCACTAAACCATGTAATCATGTCTTTCCGTTTTTGTATTTAGTTTGTGGGTAAGACCTTTTCTTTCCTGTCTGGATAATTTTAGGCAGGAATTTAAGGGTTGGAGTGCAAAGCATCCATCTTCTCCGTGAAAACATTCATGCACAGACATTTCTCCACTTCTCCTCACAGCTACCGGACAACATAAAGCTCTATGTTTAAGCTTATTTTAGCTAATTCATTTGGCTATGTAAGATACTTTCTAAGCCTGTGTGCATGTGTTGAAAGATTGTCTCAGCAAACTAGAAGGAAAAAACAATGAGGTTAGCTTAAGACAGGCTTTCCAGTGCTAAACACCTCTGCAAAAAAGCAGCAGTCAAATAGGCAGCTAACCCACAGAAATGTCTTGGTTAGAAAACTGTCATCTACAGCCAACTCACACGCTTCACATTCAGTTAGAGAGAAGCTATGATGACACTGTACGCATGTGCCGCAGCTCTTTGTGGTTAGGGGTGGGGTTCTGTGGTTAGGGTCTTTCCTCCATGTAGCACTTATAGGTTAAAATAGGAGTCCAATTTGATTAAGTGAGTGCACGTTCAGGGTGAGGCAGGCTCTTCAAAGTGAGGCTTCAAACAGAAGCCATGTGGCATGCAGTGTGAGTGATGTGTTGGCACTGAGCCCGATGGCTGACTTACTCTCGCAGAGCCTCCTCCTCAGCCTGCCTCTGATCTTGTCAATGGCATTGAAGTCTGTCACATGGAAGACGTGGGCATTCTTTGGCTCGGCCGCGATCTCTTCAAGCTCCACCTTCAGCGCCTCCCCGATGCCCACAGCAAACATCCTGATGCCAGCTTTGGCAGCCGCCTTAGAGGGCTCCAGAACATAATCCTGGCTTCGGCCATCTGTGAGAAGGATGGCCACCCTCTGAATGCCTCTGGCTGTCGGCCTGGCTCCGTTTCGCTCCGTGAAGATGTTGGTGGTGGTGTAGCCGATAGCGTCCCCGGTCATTGTATTTCCCCCCAGGTAGCGTATGTTGTGGGCAGCTCGTTTCACATCCTCCAGGGTGCTGTGTTTACCCAGGGTGAACTCGGTGGTGGGTCTGTCACTGTAGCGAACCACGGCTATTCTTGTCTTGTCTGGTGCCACATCGAAAGACTCGACAATGTTGGCCACCCATTGCCTGATTTTCTCAAAGTTCTCCTTTCCAACGCTGGAAGATGTATCCAGGATAAACGCCAAGTCATAGTGGACATTTTTACATCCTGCCATGAAAAAATACAGGAGGATTTAGTCACATACAGTCAACATGAGCTCTTTATAATGGAATATTCAATCTAATTGTTTTACCTGCCCTCTGAGCTTCCACTCTCTCGCCGGAAAGAGTCAAAGCCAGGATGACCAAGTTCAAGGTGATCCTACATCCCAGTCGTAATTCCATCTCGGTCTTGGTTTGGTTCTGTTTCGTTTAGCTTATCACCACCATCAAGCTGTTCAGTCTGTGGAAAGATCAGTGGAAACATCAACAATTGACTATTCTTCTAAAAGGGACAGCTTGGCAAACAGGATTTGTGATCATTTCTCTCCAACAGTGAAACCAAAGTGGGTGATGTACTTCCTGTAGTGCAGGGAGATTGCCTCCTACAATGGCCGCTGCCACATCTCTTTTGAGTAGGGACTTGTGGAAAGCTGATCTGAGATTGCATTTGCCACTTTATGTGTATAAATCTGGGGCTCCAACGAGAAGAAATCTCATCTCATCCCGCCTATTGTCCAGTATTTCTATTGTCCCTTGTTTCAATTTCTTTCTGGCATAGAAGCTTGCAAGAGAGGTTCTCCACTCTCAAGACGTGATGATTGAAACCTTAGACTGAAACACACATCCCTCTACAGCAGCAAGAGAACACACCATCCAGAGAAAACTTGTCAAAGATTGTTGGAACTTTTTTTTTTTTTTTTTTTTTTTACAATCTCCACTCACAAAACAGTAAAAGAACAAAGTTAGGAGTTTGCTGATGTTGCACTGGATGATTTCACCACACAGATGTTTTAAAATTTGAGATTCGTGCAGGTATCTCCAGTTGTCATTTGGAGCTGCTAAAGTGAAATTTGTGCAGCTTTGACCAACCGGCATGTTGTGAAGGGCCGATTAGTCTGTCTCTGTTGGATTCATTTATGAGGCTGTTGTGCCTGGGTGGCACTGACAGAAACCTGTCATATAAACACAAAACTATTCTTGATCTTATTGTACACCAGTGGTTGCGATGCCTGTTTTTGGGGCTGATGTGTGACTGACCGTAGCCATAACATGGAGTCATCCTGACTGGGAGAGTGTTTCATTGCGGGGGGTCACTGGGGGAGGTTGAGGAAAGTCTGAGATATGCACAACTTGGAAAGCAATAATACGAGAGAAGTGCTTTACCATCCTTTAACGATACTACTCTTGTATCTGTTCATTAATATGAAGCTGGACCCAGACGACTGTTAGCATAGCTTATCATAAAGACTGGAAACAGGGACAAACAGCTAGCCTGGCTCCGAACATGTTTTATCTTGTCTGCTTAATATGTAAAAAAACTAAAGGGAAAAAACAGCAAATTGCAGTTTTATGGGGAATTACGTGCCAGACTATTTCTTGGCCGAGAGCTGTGAAGGCCCCAGGAGCGGATTTAGACTGTGAAGCGATTTTGGCATCGTGGCCCTACCTGGTATTCAAAGTTCTGCACTCATCACGTGACGCACACTGGCCAAAAGACAATCATTGGAAAAGGAGCGGCTGTAAAGAGGTGACTACTTATTTGGAAAGTCTAGAGGAGCCGTATGATTAGATTAGATAAATTGTTAGATAGATTGTTTGCGCCGAGTGAGCAACTTCCCTAGGAATGAATGAGGCGCCATCTTTGAATCAGGTATCCATTTTTCTATTAAGTGACTCTACTTCCGACCATGAAAAGACCTCAAACACAACATCTCCCATGAAATTGCATGTTCTCATTTTTATACATTGTCTATTTTAAGCAATAACTGGCCACTCAAAATGTTATGATTTTTGCGGCAGCAGAATGTGAGATGGACAGACACAGAGGCGCACACTTATTCATGGATGCACACAAGCACGCACACCACGCGACCTATCGCATGATCTTCCTGGCGGAGATAATAATAATGATAATAATTATAATTCAATCAATAACAAGGGGTCAATAATTGAGCTTGGGTGTGTTTAAGTAAGGAAAATGCGAGAGCAAGGCTAGATGTTTCCCCTGGCCTCAAGTCTCAAGTATCAATCTGCTCTTTGAATTTTTCTCAGCTAATAACTCTGTTTTCCAAAATGTTGAGCTGATCCTTTAATTTAAATAAATTACAGCTAAAAAGTTTTAAGATCCAACTGTACTGTTATTAACTGATGCATTTCTCCTGGTTTAAAGATATATGTTGCATATTTTAGACTTTTTAGGTCAGTGGACAGTGGCCTAAAGTGAAGTAGAAGTAGTATGTTGGAGTAGTTAGAGCAGATAATTATTCAGGAAATGGTCAATTTTCAAACAGCAACCTGTTGACTGTGGCCTATATACCCAATAGAGTCTGCTTTATTCACTGGCAAAGCAAAGTGCTTTGGACTCCAGATTTATGTTTCCTTATCTGATTCTCAATTGGGCTATTTCTGCTACTTTACTGAAGCTATAGCTGAAACACTCCAATTGCCCCAATTAGTGAGCATTTAAAATTTAAGAAATTCAGCCCAGCGAGACTTCAGTGAAAAAAAAATATATATCAGCAGCCCAACGAAAGCTGCTGAACATCATTTAGATTCATGCTCCTAATCCTCTTTACCCAACTTTGTACAAGTCTAACATTTTCTAATTTGTCTCCCTTTCATCTCTGATCACATTTAAATACACTGTATGTCTCTCTCAGTGCTGTGCTGGATCAATCTGCAGTAATACAGGCAGATAGAGTATCCGAGGTAAAGTTTAAGACAAGCTGGATCGCCTCTGTCAACATCTGAACCTGAGGCCAGATTTCTTACAAGCTGTATCTGTATCATCAGGCCTGATCCACTTCCTCTCTCAATGGTAGACCTGGGACTGCAATGTAGATGTGTATAACAGAAGCACCACGTTTGTCATTCCCAAAATGTCAAAAACAGAAACAGTGTTTTTTTCCCATGTGCAACCCAAGAACAATGGAAAGAAAGTCTGTTCACTGACAGTGCACCTGAACAGTGGATTCAAAATTGATAAAGAATAAAAGCAAGTGTTTTACAGTGAGTTTTTATAGGAAGATAGCAGTGACAGATGGGTCATTTTATGATGCAGTTTTTTTTTGTTTTCTTACCTGGCCTGTCACTTGTTCGTCAGCAATTCTGAGGTGTGTCTCTCACTCTGCCTCCAGCAGTCACACCCTGAATCAGCACCGAGGCAGCATCATTATCAAGTGACAATAATCCGAGATACCTCCACTCCGCCAGAAATCAAAATGAGATTACCATTTAATCCAGGGTGACAGTCCAGGGTACAGTGTTGTTAAAAAGTGAGGTGAGCTTCAGAAACCTTGTGGATGGGTGGACAGAGTGGGAGGGAACTGTGAAAGGGGAGAAGTGTAGGGTTTCACTGGGGGATGAAGTGGCTTCCACTGTTCTTGACTGGGCTGTGCTCACATAAAAAAAGGCTGAAAGGCGCAGCCAATTATAGACGCAACTTTCTGGATATTTTTATCCTTTTATTTTCTCTCCTTTATGGCTGCGCCCATCTGAAGTGTTGCCCTCAAAGAAAAGGCACTGCCTCTTGGCAACCGCGTCAACTGTCCGGCCTTTGCCACTGTGATAGCCACAGCGGAGCCGCCCTGGGGCTGGTGGTGGGCCGGGCCGCGGTGGCTTCAACCAGCCACACACTTGTGGAGCAGGGCTGTATTTAAGTTGGGGAAATGATTATAGAACACTTGTGCTTGCAGCTTTGTGTTAAATGTCTGTCCTTGCTTTGACCTAAAGCTCTGTGATCTATATCACTCATGTCGTGCTGTTTCGATAAGTTTACAATCACACCAGACTACAGATCTTTCTTGTTTTCTCATATATTTTCATGCATAAAACATGAAATATACATGTATATATTCGAATTTACTTTCTTTACTTGCCTCAGTAGTTTTGTTGCACTTATCTTACTTTAAAATTTGTTTTCTTGTGCCAATTTTTTTTTCGCAATATCCCAATTCCCTCAAAGATGATGACATTTTTATTCTACAATATCCACTTTGTAGAACTGATCATTTATTTACAGCAAGAAAACACACTCATGAATGAATAGTCACATATCTAATTTATTTCCCTTGATAGAAAAGTCAGTACTGTTTGCCAACCTGCAAATCTACGCTTTGATTTGATATGCACATTTAGAGGATGCCTGTAATTCACATTTCAGTGTACACTGATGTCCTTATCATATGCGGTCATGCTCCCTGGCAGGATAGGAAGCTGCAGTGAAACACAGCAGCTCTGCCTGTCTGGCAGACATTCTGTGCTTCTCTAAAGTCCTCTGCATCACAAGTCTCGTGTTGGCAGTTTTTTGTTGAACTATCCTCTTTATAGTGCTCTTACAGCTGTCACTGCATGCTTTTGCTGTGTTAGAAAATGCATCCAAATTGCAGTGGAGCTGGTGAGGTACCAAAAGTCTCTAAAACAGTGTCAATATTTGAATGTCATGGACAACAAACAAGTTAGCCATCACATCCAGGCCTATTTACAGTGCCTTTGTAGCCAAGGAAAGTGAGCACAGGGCAGGCTATGTATAGGCTCAGGGTGAAGTGGATGGGAAGTGGGCTGACGATTTGGGGCAGATGCACGTCATGCGCGATGGTGTGAGTCTAAGCAACCGTCGCCTTATGTGAGAGGGCTAAAGAAGTGACCGGCTTGTAGGGTGAACGAGAAGCTGTGAGCACCATGTAGTCTCGGAGAAAGCCATCTGTCGTCTGATCGACAGCCAGCTTTCTACCTCCCACGTCAGAAAAAATATGTTAAAACATTCATGTGTGAATTACATCAGCATTTTACATTAGCACTTTCAGCATGCAACAGTAATAACCACAATAATTAAAAGTTGAATTATGCCGGAGATGCCGTGTTTGCCGCATTTAGCCTTGGTGGGGAATCTGTGGCACTGCTTTACAATACAGACAGCAAGAGGGCGCTGTTCTTCCAGTACCAGAGTTTTAATGACAGGTTAAAAAATGTGTCAGGTTGCCTTTCGATTGGCAACCTTCAACTTGCTGGTATTTTCTCCCTGTCAGTTATGTTTTAACAATGGACCAAATGTTGCCTGATGGGGAAATTGAACTGCAAGGGTCAACTTAGCTTACACTGCACTGGACACTCACACGGGCACAAGATCAGGCGAGAATTGCGGCATCACATATCACAGAAAAATTCATCGTCAGGCTTCAGGAGATGCGTTTGTGTCCGGCAAGTCACTGCACAGCCCAATCTGCATCCTCTGAGGAGCTACTGGCAGCTACGGGTTAGCATAGATGCTGCAATAACATCAGTTATATCCACACTGAAGAGTATTTCTTTATTGAAAGAAGAGCAAGGAACAACACTAAAGGCTTTTCTCAATGGAAACAATGTTTTCATTATTCTCCAGATTGGCTAATTGAAGAGTTTGATTGACAGATGGTTCACCCAACAGACAGCAGGTCAACATCCAGCAAACTCCAAAACAAGTAAGAGGAGTGGCTTGAACTAAAAGGAATGAAGCAAAGAGTGTGTGCAAAAGGGCTGGTTATAAACTGCAGGGCTAATGAGGGAAAGTTGGAACAGGTGTGCATGTGGGCGGGGATGTCAGGTGACCAAGACTGGCAAGAGATCCTGAGGGCATCTAGTGGATGGTTCTTGGATGGCAGGTGAGACAGTACATGGCCTGGAGGCCGTGAGGGCCAGGGCCAAGTATTCCTGACAGGTCAGGTTGCATTGTGGGTAATGTAGGTGCAAAAACATATATAGAGAAAAATGTATGTAAATGAAAAAAAGTGTGGCATAGTAAATAAGATATCCCTGCTTCTGCTTCATCGATTTTGATCCTTCCTGCCCATCATGAACCCGATAATATTATGGGAGCACAATGCTACATTGGTGTGGAATTATTTTAATATGAAAGGTGTCGCTAATCGCAACAAACTGTGAGAGAATTCACATCAACTCTGCAGTTCCCCTCAGCTTTACGGAGCATTGTAGCATCGTTCAGCTACTTGTTTTGGATCAGTCTGATGCTCTCCTCAACCTTGTTTATAGCTGTAGCAGGTAGCTGTCTTCATTTTTTTAAATATTAAAGTGATAAACTCGCTATAAGCTACCTGCTTAGCATTAAACAGCAGACAGAAGAGCTAGCAACTACCTGGTGAACACAGCAGAACAAAAGATACATATAGTCCCCTCAGGATTTGGTAGGGACCACATTAACAGAAACATGACTCCAAATGAATGCTAAGGCCCTGATCAGACAGAGCGCATTTTAGCAGCCTGTGTAATTGAAGAAGAAGAATCAATGAAGGAAACCCCTGCAAACAAAGCCTGGTGGAATTAAGGCTGCACACATCTTGCCAGCTTTGTCTTGATCACCGGACATGTGGAACGCCGGTGTTCTGGTCTAATGCCTCGGGGTGAAAGACAAAGGAGGAACTCACTTTCAACATGCTCATCTTCCTCAGGGAAGTTTGGTTGTGTAGAGGGAAAACCAAAGAAGAAGATTTACTCTGAGCAACAAGACAAAAAGAAAAGTGGTCCATAAAAGTTCTCAAACTTGTTTGGAGCAAACATTAGAGAAAGATAAGTGATGAATGAAGCAGGCAGTGCTTAATGACAAAAACAGTGTCACCTACTTAAGGCTGAGTTATGTTGTTAACATTACCTGCTGATTGACCAAAGGTCAGAACAAGCCTCAATCAAGGGAGACTTTGAGTATTAGTCAAATCTTCCTAAGTGCAGAGCATTGTGGCTGCTCCTGCTCTTTTTAAAGCAAGATATTCAGCAACCACTGCTGATGCATATCATATTTTGAACATGACAATCAGAAACACTAGATACAGATTCATAAAGATGGTCATTGACTACTGTTATTTAACTCATCATAACTTGTTTTCTATGATTTAACTCTCTGTGATGTGCCAGGAGCCTTGCTTTGTGCTTGCTCCGCCTCATTGAATCGTTGCATACTCTGATCTAGGGAATAGCTTTTGGAAATGGGAAAATCTATAACTTAGAGCTGCCTTACATAGACTTTCATAAAATATTATGACATGTTTGGGAATACAAGGGAAAGTCAGCCGGACCATTAACGAACTTCAAATCGATCTGGCTTTGTGCCAGTGATATGTCAGCAAAACACAGCTCTGCTACGTTGCTGTTCTCCTCAGAGATTACATGACAATACCCTATATGGACAATTTTCGAAAGTACAATCTAGTGCAAATATTTCATCTCTAGATTACAGACTAAACTGTTCAAAAATCTGCGTTATTTGCTGATGTTGTGTGTACAGCAGTTTATAATGGCACAGTTCAATACAGCACTTTCTGATTCCTACATGGTTTTTTTCATCTGCCGAGGAAATTAGTAGACTATAAATCAGCTTCCAAACTGGGATATAAGCCTGTTTCTGGTGGGTCATCTCTAAGCATGACATCATTTCATAAAGTCCTGAGCTGCAAAAGTGAAAGATCCAATTTGATTACAGTTGGAGACGTTCCAGAGGGACTGCACTGTTATGCTTTGTTATCAAAGGTTTTTTCCTCTTTAATCTCCAGTGAGAAGCACTTGGCTTCACACCGTCAAGCGGGTGTTCACCGCTTCCACCTTCGGCCGTCTGTCGATTCAGAGTGCATCTTGCAGATTGCTGACTGCAATCAATCCTCTTGATGGCTTTTCCTGATAGTTCAATGCTCCCAGGGGACTGCAGGAGGCTCTTTGATGTCTTTTCCAGCATGCAGCTGGACTCTCGCCCTCTCTGCTCTCTGCCCTTTGCCTTGGACACCTTGGGCCAGCTTGCATTTATCTGCAGATAATCCCCCTGTTGACGTGTTTGAATTGCACTGATCCTCTTCTAGGCATTGTGCTCTCCTCAGCCTCAGCCGCCGCCTCCCCTCTTCCTGCTGGGGGGTGCGGGGGTTTTCGCGTGCGACCTCTTCGTGGCCACGTGCGGCTTGAGCTTTAACTCGCCGGGAAAGCAAAGGAGGGGCAGGCTTGCAGCGAAGAGGAGCTGGGGTACCTCGACACACCACATCCTCCAGATGCGTGTCTCCATTGTGCTCTATGGGGACGAAGCCTGTCAGCTGGGGCCTTGAAGATGTGTGTTGCTGTTGGACTTTGAGTGGCTCAGTGGAAGCAATAGGGCAACCTACAGCTTTTACCAGTCTCTGTCTCACGCAGGATTTTACCTTCCTTGTATGGATCTCATTCACCATCACATCCAGCTTACAGGAAGTAGGCTTGGCCTCTTGCTGGATAGACTTAAGTTTTTGCCTCTGAGCCTCCCTCACCTCCTCTGGTAGCTCCAGTGGGGCGAGCTTCGGAGGGCGTCTGAGTGGCTGGCTCTCGGCCTCCCTCCCTGACTCAGGCCTGGGGGACTTGAGCAGCAACAAGTCCAACTGTGCCGTGCCCTCCTGGGTCGGCGAGCAGGCCGTAAGCTGACCCACTGTCTCCTTCCCATGTGTTGCTGACATATGGAGGCCAGGTGCATTCGAATTGCGGCCATTTTCAGCTGCCAGTCTGAGATTTTGACCATTCAGATGCAACATGGTATTTTTAACTTGGATGGTCAACATTTCTTCCCGCTGGGGAGCCCCCTGAACAAAAGAGACATCATATCAATATCACTGAAACCATAATGTGGCCTCCGTTTCTACCGAGAAGTCTTTGTTCAGCACATGGTTGGAAAGCATAATGGTACTTATCTAATGTAACAAGTGCAGCACTCTTGGGAAGATAAATCATTTCCGTACCACCTCCTGACAGGACATACTCTATGAATTGTAACTGTTTCAGCTACTGAAAAATCCCTCGAGCTGCTTTGTTTTTAATAGCTTAATAGCGCCTCTTTTTGAATAACTGCAGAGCAATTTATTAACAACTGATCAATATTTGAAATGAACAGCAATTGAAATTGCTACGTCATAGGTTTACTCTGTAGTGATATTTATTATTATGTAATCATTAATATTGTTATTTCTCTACAATCAGCCATCAAGTCTTTCGATGTAACTGTTAATAAATTGCTAACGAATTTATTTTGGATGCTTTACAGCTGTTTTCTTGAACAATGGTTCCCAACCTGGGGCTGCGGAACCCACAAATGGTCATGAGATGAATCTGGTCGGTCAACAGACGTTTGCCCAGCTCCAACCTACCAACTTGTCTCTCATCTTTTTTTTCTACAACGGGGGTTTTACCACTTCAGGCCTACAAGGGATTCAACCGAAAGAATTTAGAGAGGGGAAAATCTGTTTTAGATTAACTGACAACATGCAACCTGTGACGAGGTGTCGGAAGGAGATGTTACTCCCTATATAAGAGTCACAAGCAAAGAAGTTTGGGGACCAGTGTTGACGGTACACAAGTGGTTAAACAGCCCATTGGAGTGCTGCTTGTGATGCAAAACAAGGTATGCCAGACACAAGCTAAAGGGAACCAGTTGCTCTTGCAAGTTGTTTATCACTATTTTAAAAAGCAGTTAAAAATGATTTGTTAAACATTACTAAAGCCATTAGTTACAACTTATAAACCCTTTATAAAGTAAACATGGTCAGAAGTGATAACAAAACATTTCTTCAGACAGAAAATACTACAAGATGGCAATTACATTTACACATGTACGTTGATTTAATTTAATGCCAAACTAAAGATTCCATAATACTCCAATTGTATAAAGTGACCAGCAGTACCTTAAATACCATGACTCCTATTTACCACTAGATAAATACAGAAATGAAATACCAGAACCAAGCACAAGGCATATTGTGTTTGTATTGTCTAATGATACAGCTGATGAGGTTGCTGTATGCACACTGTATAACAAGCACGTTCCCTCACTTTCACTACATGTCACTCAAACTAACATAGGCAGTGACAAACCATTTCAAACCAGATCACCATGTGTTGATGAGGTATACTCACAGGTTTGGCAGACATCTCCCGCTTGAATTCTTTTAGGAGTTGAATCTTTCAGCAAAGGTGAACGATCCTGTTGTTGTCCGTGTTGTTTGTTTGGTTTGTGCCAAATGAGCAAAAGGCAATGACACTGCAGTTGGTAAAGGTCTTAGCTGTCTTAATGTAATTAAGCAGATTAGGGTCACAGTGATCTCTAATTATCCACAGCTTAGTGACAGCCCGCGTGCACACTCATGGCAAGGCCGGTTTGTTTTCATCGTCCACAGAGCAACTTTATAATGACATGAAATAATGACAAGTTGCTGCTCAGTTGATTATGAAGAAGTAAATTGTAGCAGATATTTTTGCAGTTCACGCACCACTAGATGGTGCCACAGACCTCCTTTACATGTTAGCATCAACGGTGGAGTTTGGTGGCCTCATCATCATCATGTGTAGAACAAAGCCAGCTGTCATGGACATCAGCAGAACACATCCTTCTCATCAAATAGAATATGTATTTACTATATTATCCCATTATACTGGGGTTTTTCAACCTGAGAAAAAACTTTTTTTGTGGTCATCACATAATGATTTTATATGTTATAAAAACATTTATATCTTACTGCCCTCCCCTATTAAATCAAAACCAGCCACATGAATGAGATATAAAGAGAAGTACAAGTGTTACAGATGGATTTGTAACCTTTGGAGAGACTGAATATAGTGGATAAAGGGGCTGAAACTCAATATCAGAGAGATGTTCGTAATGTTGTCAGCATTCACTGGAGTTAAACTTTGATCGAATTCTCTTCCAAGCCCCGGCTCTGGTGATAGTTTTCAGCATAAACATCTTTAGACAGGCTAGATGAGTCAATGAGGTGGTGTGTATTGCCTGCAGGAATATCTGCAGATCTTAATCACTTCAAGACAGCAGCTTATTTTAAAATTTGGCTTCATCGCTTCTACGTCAGCCTCATTTTTATATTCAGAGGCAGACTGTCGCAGAGCTTTCCTGCGATGGATGAGACTCGTATTGGCGGGCAGTTGTGCCTCCTACAGTAGATCCATTTTTCATCAGGCAGACAGACTCAATCATCGTTGAAAATCTCCCGCTCTCCGTTGTCTCAGTCTCTCGCCTCGGGCCAGAAAAAAACAGAAAAGCAGCATTTCAGCACCTGCTTATTGCAAAGCTACATCATATCATTGGTATGTTGGAGATGGTCCCGCTGCAGAACAACTTGGCTACGCTTACATGATCATTTAAGATGCAAAATTACAGGCTTAACGCCAAGAGATGGCCCTTACGCCCCTCTGCCATGCTCTTACTGTGTCGCCCTCTCTGTTGCCTGACGTTCACGGCTGACATATAATTACTGCGGTGTGGGAAGAGATAAAAAGGGATGTTGCCTGCTCATTCTCCCACCTACTGAACATCCAGCTGCACTGCATGAGCCACTTGGTGAGAAGAAGGCGGCGACTGGACAGCAGAAATCCTTTATCAGTCAAATTTGGCCAGAATTCATGATACAAAGTATTTTTACACCATAATGTTGCTCTGACGTGGGGTTTTGTCCAGGCTTTCAACTGACTCTAATTCAAACCTGTCCGCATCGTTATTAGACAGTCAGAGCAACTATAAAGAGTGAGAAATAACAAACTTTCAGCTAGGAGGCTGCTCTGTATGTCCTGTGTTAAACCAAGTCAAGGTTGACTTTTTTTTGTAGAGTACTAAACTACCAGCAGTTACGTAACAGCATACTTATTTAATGTAACACACCTACCTAATTTAACCCAAACCAAGATCTTGAAACAGCTAGCCTGGCACTGTCCGACGCAAGGTCACATCCAAAACTAAATAACAGGTTTTTATTACCTTCATTGTTTTACACTTCGATTTTTGTACAGGTTTAACAATTGTGTTATTAAGTGAACCTTAAAGGTTTTTGTAAGCGGATGTTGTTGACTTTGGACACGCTAGCTGTTTCCCCCTGGTTCCAGTCTTTATGCTAAGCTAGGCTAACCGACTACTGGGAGTTGTTTCCCGTACAGACCTGTGTGGTCTCATGTAAATAAGCATATTTTACAAAATGTGAAATGATTCCTTTTACTTTGAGAATTATGAAAAGAAAGTAAAAGTGAAAAAAGAAAAACGAAGGCATTGTGATTGGGTTTATATGATTAATCAAGGATTATCTCTTTTATATCCTGCAGCTCATATTTTTGTTCTCTCGTCAGATCATTGACTGAAAGTCTGAATATTTTAGATTCAGACTATTCAGTTTAGTTCACAATGTTTCTTTGTATTTATCAGCAGATACTCTTGGTGGCCAGGCTCCTCTCACTTGAAATGCTCGAAGGCCACACTTCTCTAGTCCATGAGGTGTGATCTTGAGAATAATATTAGTTTTAGCTTTTTGAATGAAATAAGAGGTACTTTAGATCAATTCTTAGAGTGTGAGTGAGTTGAAAGTTGATCTTGAATTAGTTTAAACTGAGAGAAACTGGCCCGCGGCACATTTACAAATCATTGAAACTGTTGATTTATTAAATATATAATGCCATAACTTTTTTTTAAGAATGTAAAATGCCAAGTGCGAATTAAACTTCTCAGTCGAGCAGTTGGAGATGTTAGGCAATTAGAACAAGACAGAGGGTTTCAGAAGGAGGCTCATCATTTTTATTCAAGTTTGTTATGGCTTCACTCAGGCTGTGTAACCGAGTAAGTCACCCACACCAAATCATGCACACGCGCACCAAAAAAGAAAAGAAAAAGGAAAACATACAAATGTAAAATGTTATGTAAAATGTTCATTTCACTCTACACAATTCTCAACAATCTCTTCTCAGTGTGGCGAAAAGAGAGGGGACCCATACTGGAGTGTACTGTACAGACATCAGTTTCAAAATTGTGACAGAAGACGTCGGTCGGTTCAACATGACCGCAAAAACCACATGGATGGGATATAATCTCCTGTAAGGAATATGGTACATGGTAGTATTTGTTCATCAGACCTACAGAAGAACCTATTGCAAAGGATATTTCACAAATAGAAGTTATGGAACACAGCCTTTCTATTATATTGTATTACACAGTTAGTAGTGCAATTTGTGTCTCTTTTGTCCCTGTCGGAAAACATGGCACTGTTGACAGAGCAATGGCCTGCACATACTGCCACATGCAGTAAATGACGCCTGGAAGCCAAGCAAAGCTACGTACAAAATGCCGAAAGAAAAAAACGACAACCAAATAACTGAATCAAACTAACACCTTTGTGTTGTTTGATGCCACGTGGCAGGGAAACGCTCGAGAAAGCAAAACATTGCACTTGAGAGAGATGTTGCGTGATGCTGTTTCTCCGTGCCATCTGTGTTATAGAGTAACATTCAGTCGAGGACCATCAATATGACATGTCGCATGATGGCAGACAAATCTGAGTACCGGTAATATGAGCGCGTTTGGGAGGGGGTATGAAAAACGATCTGACTTGCAGCTCATGAAAAGCAAATGGGTTCATTTGTTTGCTGCTTCCTTTCAGAAAAAATAAGATCCATTATGGCTGATACATTCCCCCAAAATGCTGCATGGAAAAGTTTGGCTGTGAACTGAATGGAAGGTAGACGACACTGAAAACCGTCAGTGACACTTCTTATAGGTAGATATTTGCTCAACCATGACCAATATTGGATACGTTTAAAGGTTAATTCCAGTTTATTACAATTTGGGAGTTATTTTTGCATGTTTGCCATTATTCGTAACGGTTGTGACAACATTATATTCAACAAAGTAATAATTGAGATCTGGGAACAACTACAACAAAGTCCAGTGAGGCAAGAAATGAAAAGCCTCCACCATCAACCAGGTGTTAACAAGAGTATAGTTTAGCCAGAATTTCTAAACCACGTTTATTGAGATAAAGATAAACAGATAATCTCACTGTATGCCACCCCTCACTGCTAGATAGCAGGCAGATACATGACTCCTAATAAAATGTAAATGTAAACTCTATAAGGTGATAATATGTCAACTATTTGTGTGCAGCTAGTTTTGCTGCACCCAAATGGCCAAAAATAATCAATGCAGCTTAAAAAGCGGGTAGATAGGCAAAGATATTTCCTAAAATTGCTTTCCTTAAAGTGTTTAGCAAATGTTACTCAAACGGGAGAAAAAAGAGCATTTGTTTGAGACAAGCGAGTTTTTACATCGGCAAAATTGTGGCTGTGATATCATGTGTGTGTATGTGTTTTAAATTGTTTCGGTTAAACAGACAATATTTGTTCGTAGGATCTAGGAGATATTGCTAGCATTAACTTTAAACCTGTCTAATCATCTGCCCGCTTGTGTCTCTTGCGCCATGTGGCTTCTTTTTAGCAATGTTGTGGCATTCCCAAATCTCAGCAATTACTGTCAGTATAATATTACTATTACTGATAGGAGTGTCGGCCAAAACTATGGAAACAACAACAATTTGCGATATACTGGAATTATCTTTTAAGCTGCTAACGGATGATTATGTCTTTCAAAAGTAAAGAGTTTCAGTCTGATTTGGCGCCGGGTGTGTACGTGGTTATAGAAGGTAGGTGTAAGATCTAATAAGTTCTCACTCCCAACTCGTCACATTATGGATTCTTGGGCAGGACCCCCTTGGCATCCCTTTTTAACGCACTGGGTACCCCTTTAACGGATTTTTTCAATGTGCAGGCTAGTCCGACAGACTTCAACACGTGGTTAACGTTGGCAATTCACACGTATACATAGGACCACTAACTGGCAACTTGACATGTTGGGAGTGAGGATGAGTTGGTAAGATTACAAGTTGATTTTCATCTCCTCATATGAACTTGTTTGTCAGAACTTAGATCTGTCTATACATTAACCACATCTGCGCTTCAGACCTCCATAACCTTCCATTAGGTTTGCTAAAGCACAAACAGATCCACCACATTTAAATGTGCCCCACTTCAACAGAAACACTGACTACTGTTTCTTCAAGGCACGTATGCTAATGTGTAAAAATACATATGCATCTCAGCCATGAAAAGGCATTTTTATTCCAAAGGTTGTTATAAACATATTGTACAGGATATTCAGATAAGCCGGTATAGTTCCAATCATGAAACAATGCTTTTAGGGCTTATCTCGGACTCCACGCCTGGTTATGTTTGTCACGACTGAATAGGATCCATGGCGTTTCACCATTTACCCAAACAGAGTGGCATTCACCTTGTGAGGCATGCTCACCTACCCAGAAAATTAATATAAGCCTGTTAAACACTAGGCAGCAAAGAATACTGATGGCTATGCTTCTTGAGTGTCAAGGTCCAGAAATTTGGTGTTTGGTGTTGGTTGGTATGTTTCCAGAAATATTGATTTTGAAGGATATAACTTGCCGAGGGAATAGCTCCCAGCCCTGTGTAACCTTAAAAAGCTCCTCTTTACTCCAGTCTTTACAAATAATTTATATTTAAATATACATTTACAGCTTAAAAGGCCTTTAGAAATCATGTGTAGCGCTTTAATCCTGCCTAATTTAAGAGCTCAGTTATAGTGAATATTTTGTCTTTGACAGTTTGCATAATTTGTGACAGGAAATGAGCATTAGGCTTCATAAAAAGACCTATAATCAAAAGAAATATCAAGAATTGCCCAAATATTTTCCAGCCCTGTCACAAATTATATCTTTTATGCAAACTGACTCCTGGTGTACACATCTGCATCAGACGCAGAACAGGCCTCAGTGAGATGATGCATCTCAGTCGCATTTCTAAGAACATCCCTACTATTCGGAAATGAGGATTTGATATGTACATTGTAGTTGGCCATTGCGCTTGCACTTCTGGGATTGTGTTTGTTATAGGAGCAAATAAAAAAAAAAGGTGATTCATTCAAACCTGAGAACAAACATTATTGTACAGTTTGTTTGAATGAAAGATGAATTAAGTAAATAATGTGTATCCCTTTAAGAACTGCTGGACTTTGGCAAAAGAAACAGCTTGTATTGCAAATCATCCTAAAGACTATTTGCCATTAAAATACTTTAGAAGTTATTATGAAATTATTTCCAAATTCATCATACAAAGTTCATGCACTTATCAGATCTTTCAAACATAAAAAATCTTCCCTATCCCCTTTCCTTCTTCTGACATTTTACAGAAAGTGAACGGATCATACTGATGTTATTAAGTCTTTTTCTTTTCTGTGATCTTCCCCTCACATTTAACTCACACTCACTATTTCTGCTTGTGTCCGTGCTGATGTGTTTATCAGGTTGTGTTTCCCTGATGGCTCCAAAGTGCATCAAAACCTCAAGAGCCGTCAGTTTGGATCTGCATGCTTTTCCATCACTGTGAACCGTTCTGCTTCTTGGTGCTGCAGGGCTAGATCTGAGCAGGGTTCATCAACAGACCCAGGGTCAGCTGCTACGGGCATGCATTGTGTACTATACAGGACTTTGGAGCATAATCATGTCCTTTGATTAAAAATTACACTGCTTATAAATTCAGCTGGAGTCACTTAATTGCACTTTGATAACTGCAGGTTAAAGCCTTCTGATCCTCTTACACTGTCTTATATCATCTCTTCATTTGATAATTTTCCAAAAACCTGCAAAATCACTTTCCTCAACCAGGACTCATCGCCTCCAGCTACTTGCCCAAGAATGCTTCTCAAAAGATCCTGAGAACTTTTTGCAGCCAATCAAAAGTGAATGTGTGGAGCTACCGGGCCACCTAGTTTGTGAAGAGCATTACCGATCATAGGATCTTAGCCACAACGCCACCTTAAAGGGGCCCTCCACCAATTGTACACATGGCGTTCAGCTTACCCGTCGTGAGGAGTATGACGAGGCCTATACTCATTGATTCATGCATGTGTGTGTGGCTCTGGAGGGAGTTTCATGATTTGAATCAATAACCATGATGATGTCATAGTGAGGTCATCATGTTTATCTCATCCTGAGCTTGAGACTTAAAATATTTAAATGAAAGCCTGCGTTGCAAACTGGAGGTGTGGGGGTTTCAATGTAGGATCCAGTGTTTTTAGAGCTTCATCGTTACGGGCGACTAAAAGTCAGAATATCTCAGCCTCCACTGCTTTATTCTGTTTCTTGTGTCCACAACTTTGTGGAATACTAAATCGCTGACTGACCCTTTTGTTATACAACATTTGCTGCATTGGAATCTGGTCTTATAAGAGACTGACGGTAAATGAAGAAACTGGTCTCTTTGCCTCTTTTACAATGGAGTGATCCCTTATGTGTGCTGAACTTTGTTGCTAAATTATCAATGCACTGCAGTGCACTTAATATAACTGATATTCAATATGAATGTCATGTGCTGAAATACAGATCTGTTTAAAAGTGTAGTGGTGATGTTGGATTTTCCTTCAGGTCAGTTTGACATCTAATTACGAAAAAGGCCCTAGGTGAAATTAAAGCTTCTGTGGCCAGATCTGATTCCTGATGAGGACACATATTAATAACAGCAGCATGATCCTTTGAATTCAAGACAAACAGACACTTTCATTTGGCTGTTCTACAAACAGACTAATGAATTTCACAAAACCATGGCACACTCAGTAAATGACATCTAATGCACATGCTAATATTGGCAACAATATTTTGGCTTGATGCACGGTGAAACCATTGAAATATATGATTGCTTATAGAAAACAATACCTGATGCTTTAAGTCATTTTAAAATCTCTGTCTGCAGTGAGGCAATGGGATAGTACATAACTTCAAGTTAAGGTGAAACAAGCTAACTCCCTTTTTGAAAAATAGCATTTCCCCAAGTGTGCATCATTTGGCATGTAACCAAAGTTAATATACCAATTTTGTACTGTAAATCTGAAATAAGGAAGGTCTTCTTCTTTGTGTTTGTAAATAGAGCAATCTCTTGAAAAAATAGAAATCCATGCTTCATGCTTTGCATCCCATTGTGTCCACGCTGTTCTGCAGTGTTCTTCATCCATTCCCTAAGAATACTTTTTATATTACACACAACCAAAAAAAGGAAAAAAAGAAAGTGCTGAAATAAGATTTGGTAAGGAGCAGCATTGGAAATGTTTGACCTTGTGTATAAAACGTGGAACCTCATTTGTCCTGTGTGTGTTAGGTTTTAGATGGATTTCCTTCTCTTCATGAGCTGGTGATTGTCTGTGAAGCTGTGGAGGCCCGGAGACACCGAGCTGATGGGCGAAGGGAAGAAGCTGTTTTTCAAGGTGCTGGGCGAGATCTCCTCGATCCTGTAGGAAACCGAATGAAAGTACTGATTGGGATTCAGCTGTGAGCTGAATGAGTTCTGATGGGAGAAGGCACAGCCGAGGCCTCCCATCCCTCCCCCAGAGCTGCCGAAGTCATGCGAGTGGTAGTGCATACAGGAGCAGACTGACTGCAAATCAGTCACTTCCGGTCGGTACGGGTCGCGCCGCCGCCGGCCCCGCTGCAGCGATTCGTCCTGGATGTGGATGATCATGCTATTCCGGTTGCCTGCTAGCGAGGCCCGTTCCTCAGCATCCCGCCGCTCGTCCTCACTGTTCATAGTCAGGAAACGGAGCACCACCAGGTTGAGGAAGGCCCCAATGACCGTCAGGCCCACCAGGATATACATGAAGCTAAAGGCCACGTACAGGGGCTTCTTCTGGAGGGCCCGGTTCTTTTGAAGGGCCACAAAGTCCCCAAAGCCTATAGTTGTTAATGTGATGAAGCAGTAATAATAAGACTGGAAGAAGCTCCAATCCTCGTAATGGGAAAAGGCAGCGGCTCCGATGCACAGCGTGCCGATGCAGGAAAAGAATCCTACAGTCACCATGTTCTCCATGGATACGTCGGTGATGCTCATGCCGCAGCACTTCTTGATTCGCTTCAGGAGGTACTTGACAAAAGTGTTCATCCTCTCGCCCAGACTTTGGAACATGACAAGAGTCAAAGGGATTCCCAGGACGGCATAAAACATGCAAAAGGCCTTCCCTGCGTCGGTCCCCGGCGCTGCATGCCCATAGCCTGAGAAGAGAGCAGACAAACAGCAGAAGTTAGTGATGCGGGAAGATGATTCGCAAAAGTGCTTGTGAATCAGCAGTGGCATCACAAGCACTACCCGCTACTCCAAAAGCCCCAGATCAGCTTTTGTTTACAAACATGACCAAGCAAGAAATCTCCCTAAGAGTCTACGAGCGCTGCCAGAAGGGGTATTGAATGGGTGCACACCACAGAAATGTGTCCGCTCATTAATCTAATTTGGGCTCAAAGATTATGGGGGGTTGGTCGTCCAATTAGTCAGAAGGTAGAAGAGTTTGGAGGAGGGATTGGACAGGAGTCATGGGGGAGCCAATGAAGCTTTTAGCTTAATTAAACTTTATCTTTAGACCACAAACTGCTGACTCACAGACAAACACAGTTTTGAAAACCAAGATGTGGGGCTAACAATAGGATTCATACATTAGATTTAATTTTGAAATGCAATATAAACGATTTGATGTGCTTCGCAGAAGATTACAGTATGAATGAAGCCAACTGCTCTTGAATATGCAGCGCTGAAAAAAAGAGTGTCGTATTGATTATCGCTCCTCTACCACAGCCCATAACTGTGAGTATTAAACATCAAAATCATGGCCAAGAAACACCCACCATCAGTTGGCATGTGTATCACTTCAACAACCTCCTTCCAAATCGAGACATAATATTTTTGGTGTATGGCATTTTTTATGTATTTATTTATTCTAGATATGTCCTGAGCAAGTTTTGAGTTTTGCACTCTCAAATATTGATTCTGTGTTTTCCCATATGGCTCTCCACCCACTCGAGCATGTGTTTAGTTATGCAGTTTAAAAAAAAAAGACTCTAGCAATCTTATTTGTACTAGCAACAAGGGTACTTATAACCTTGTGTGTTATCAGCCTGAGGTTTTATCAGTAAAATTTAAAGAAATGTTCCATACCAGTGCTGTTAGAAGCAATTCTTTATCACGGTTTGAAAGCTAGATTTAAACACTTGATATTTATTTGTTTGATCCTAAATGTATCAGTTCATTTTCTTTAAATTGAACAAAGTGTCAGAGTTCAATACAAAGTTAAAGCTGCACTATTAGTATTTTTCTTAGGGTCAAATGATTGTGTGTGATGTCTTTGGACTTCAGTTCCCCACTGATCTAAAAACCTTTCTAGCTCTTTGCTTTGGTTTTCACACCCGCAAAGTCCTCTCTCATCAACCTCTTTTCCAAGTCAGCTGTTTTCAGCAAACAAGCTCTGGTAAACCTTCTGTATGCTTCCTGTTCAGCATGGCTGACAAGTTAGTGACTAGCTGGTGAACATAGTGGAGCATTCAGCAGCTAATGAGACAGATACTTCCCTCAGGACTTGGTTAAAACCAGAATCAAAGCAAAAAGGAGAGCGAGTGTTAGAGAGCCAGCTTACTTCCAGTTAGCCTTATATGCTAACTTGAATAGGGATGAAATAATTCAATTGTGCTGCTTTTCTAGACTTTCGCAATGTTATTGGACCGAATTCATCAAACGCTGATAGTAAAGCAAGCAATTTGCAGGAGATGTGATGCTCAAAAGAAGGTATCTACTGTTCTACATGAGTAACAGTAGCAATGGAGAAAGTGACGGAGAAAGTGATGGAGAAAGTGACGGCGTAGGCTACGGCGTATTGGTTGTTCATGTGTTTTTTCAAGGTAGAGAAAAACCCCAATCAAAAATAATCTCATGAATTTATCATCATTATCGTGACAGAATTTTATTGTGAACATTTTGGCTGAAGTTCCAAAACTAGTGTCACGTTTTGACAACAGAACAAACTCCATTTGCAGATTAAGAGTTGAAATCTCCAGAAAAAGCCAAATGACAAACCAGTGTGGTGGACTAGGTACAATATGTCAAGTAAGTTTCAGTCTCACCCAGTGAGCTGCCAGAATGAAAACTAAAAAATAAGCAAAGTATATTCAAATGCAGTAAAACATGCAGAATAACTGGTCGGGACCTTGAAGTTTGAGATCTGTGCATGGAGCTGAAAGAGCAGCTGCAGGTCAGCAGCAGCTCACTGTCACTGGTGTGCGCTGACTACAGATGAGCTGATAAAATTCCTTTGACAATGAGCAGCATCGTGTACATTATTTCCACATACACACATGGTCTTCAACAGCATGAACAGCCTTGTTAAAAAGATCTAAAACTCACAATCTTCGCTGCTCTCTGGTACAGCACAGATAGAGTATATATGGTAATGCTCACTGTGGAACTGAGAAAGATAAGCCAAATATGATGCAAATCTGTAACTAGTGGCATTATCATGATAGCAGATGTGTGCGAATCATAGAAATTGCCTCTTCGTTGTTCCTACAGACTTCGTTCTATTTCAAGAAGAAATATTTCAGGACCTCCGCATACTGCTTGGGAAAAATCAATTTGGGTCAAAGTAAACGTGCGAAATGCAGCTAAACATAATTGTGCCATCCCAAAAGTGTTAGTCAATTCTAATTACATCTCAGGACAGATTTGTGTTCTATCCAGCCGTCTGTCTTCTTCCCTCCTTTCTCAAAATTAGAAAATTAATTGATATTGATTCTGATTGCTTAAATTTCTTCTTGCGCAGTAATTAGGACATAACGACTTACAGCGGCAGCTGTGAAGAAATGACAACTTTCATTTGATCTGCGCTACGACTCCTCTGTGCAGACAGATAAGCACAAATCTTATCCGTGGATAATCTTTCAACATCATGTTTTACACTCAAAGACGTTACACCAACTAAAGACTATTTCTGTTTGCGTAGGTTTGTGTGCGACTATCGCACGCAGCAGCCTCTCCCTGCTGCAATCAGACTGGAGTGTATTGGATACCAATTCAACAGCTGCCAACTGAAGGGTCGCCACGCTTGTATTCATTTTCTATTCGATTAGCCGTCCTCTTTTAAGTTTAAAACTGGACAGATGAGCGCCTGAGTGTCCATTTAGTGATAGTTGATAGCATTGTGATGCCCAAAGTCTGGATCTTCAAGTGATAACGCTAACACAGGAAGTCATGAAAGCGGTATATTAAAGGGATAGAAACAAGCAATGAAATCACACCCACAGAGATGTCAAATCAGCTTGAGCTCTCGTGTTTCAGCTTTAGCTTCAACATTCATTCGCGTCCTTATATTCCCGAGGCAATATATATATACGGGATGATTAACACAGATTTACAAGGCTCGGTGAGATGACCCGCAGACCTACAGAGGCAGATATTAACTTGTATAAGTAATCATCTGTGACATTTTCATATCAAATAATGTCCATCATGGATTGATGGAAGACAATGAGGGAGATAAGTTCATGAAAGTTGTTCAATTTGGTTTTCTCTCTCGCACTATAACTCACATTTTTTTTCAGATTCAGTCTCGACTTAAAGTATTTATTTGGTGTCGTCGACGGGATGTTTGGTTTTCTGCGGCAGCGCTGCACTGTGTAATCTGTTTGTCCTGTTATAATGACTCTATTATCTCCTGTTGTCTTGGGAACAGACATATTTGCTCTGCCACTCAGAGCCGTGTCATGCACAGGTGTGCTTTTGTGCCCATGTGTGCACAGGTGAACGCATGTGTTCAGCCCAGTGTGTAGTGCAGCGGAAAAAGAATCACACTCCTTAATGAATGATAAAAGCAGGAGGAAGGCCCGGCCACTTAAATATTACGTAATCTCGAGAAACTGGAGGGTTGTGTTCCAATGCCGGCGTCCTGAAGGAGGAGAACATTTGACATGTTTTCAATCTATATTCGCCTGCCAGCTGCAGCAGACAAGAAGTACACACTGGCCTTATCAGCCAGAAGCACAAATTATGTTTGAAACAGAGAAGCACTCCACAATCCTCAAATTAAGATGCTGTGAATTTGCCAAGATGTAAATCGGATTTGCAGAAATCTTTCTTGGCCTCCTATAGTGCATCTTAATATTTAAGTAGGTTGGGTTGTAATAAACAATGTGACAATTGATTGCTTTCATAAACAAACACATTTTGTAAAAAAAACAACTGCAACTAAAAATCATTTATAGCATTGCTCCATAAGCCCGGCATTGAAAAGTGGGATAATAATAAATCTGCTGGCTATCTGCTAAAAAACAAACAAGAAATAATGAAAGTCAGATTTTCTGTACACCTCAGTGTGAGTCCATGTCTTTTTGATTACAAAGCAGGTGTAGGTGCTATATAAATACCGTGAAAGTATCAATACGCTCAGTCTGCGGAGAAATGCACATCGCCTGTATTCTCAGAAACTGTGACTTTAAACAACAACTTCTGCAAGGATGTGATGACCTCAACTATACAGACACCTGTATAGTTGAGTCATCAACTCAGTGTAGCTGACAAACACAGGGAGTCCCTGGCTGCCGTGATGCTTTCAAGCCCGTGAACGCAAATGCCGAAGATCCTAAATGCTGATTAATCATAAAACACTGGGCTTTTTCCAGAGGGAGACTTAAAGAGACAGTCCACGGAGGGTGAATACACAGATATATTCAGAAAGACAGTATGAGAGAAATAATGTGTTTTTTGAACATTAAAACATGTAAACATGTTCTCGTAGAAACCCAAAATACAAGTAGGAATATTCGCTGACTAGCTCTGAAGAAGTACAGCTGAGGTTGATGGAAATGTCATTAGTTTTGCAGGTCGTAAACCGAAGTACTGGACAAACTGAAGTTTTAACTCCATGATGGCCCAGGATGAGAACATGAATGAACTGATAAATGCCATGGCAATCAATCCAATAGTCAAGAACATTTTATTCAAAACCACAAAAGCCAACCTCATGGTGGCGCTAGAGGACAAGTCAGAGGATCACAAAAGTCATTCGTATACATTATCAGGGAACCATTAAAGTCTGTGCAAAATGTGATGCCAGTCCAGCCAAAAGTTGTGGAGAAATTTCACAGGATAAGTGCTTTGACATGCTGGCGGGGCTGGATGACAAGTTCACCAATCAACGTCATCAGGATTGTTCATCTCTGGAGTTGACTGATCTAAC